CCCCAGGTCTGGTGGATGGCACAGAGGGGCAGCAAAGCCTCCGCAGCCAGAGCCAAGCGCCCCGTACCAACTGTGCACACAGCAGCTGAAGCCTCGCAGGAGCTGGGCGCACTTCGGCCAAGCCCCTCTGGATCAGCGCATGGAGGAGGCGAGGTGCACCCGTCTAAGGACGCGCGGATGGCACGCCGCCCGCTCACAGAGAAGCAGAGCAGATGGCCACGGCGAGGAGACAGACGGGAGGGGGTGGCCCGACGTTAGATGCGCAGAGCAGTGAGCCTGGAGGGAGATGCCACGCGCCTTCCCAGCAGGCGGGGGCCCGCAGAAGAAAGCGCCGGTCTGCAGGGGCCACGAGACCAGTGAGTGAATGTCACCCTGAACTAGAGGAAGACGGCAGCCGGAAAGCGTGCACGTTGTCTCCAAGGCCATGTCTGCAAAGAGAAGAACGCCAGCCACTACGAGGCCCGGGAGGCCTGCGACAGTAGCCCAGGATGCCAAGGGAGCACCAGGGGCCGCGTCCGCCTCTGCCTCGGGGAGTGGCCTGCCGGCGCAGGCCTGGGGGCTGCTGAAGGCCGCTGGACTTCCCGGCACCAGGCTTCAGCCCTGCTGGGGACACGTGGGGAGTGAGCTAGGGCATAGGACCACGTGCTAGCTGCCTCTGTCAAAGAATAAACTCGTTTTAAAGAAAAGATGCATTTGTTCTTATTTGAAAGACCGAGTTACAGAGAGGAGAGACGAAGACAGCAATCTTCGGTCTACCGGTTGGTTCAGTGGCCATCCGGCTGCAGGAGCCAGGCGCCTCCTTTAAGCATCCCACGTGGATACAGCAGCCCAAGCACTTGGCCCATCCTCCTCTGCTTCCCCAGGCACATTAACAGGGAGGTGCATGGGAAGTGGAGCAGCCAGGACTTGAACTGATGCCCAAATGGGGTGCTGGTACTCCAGACAGACACTTGCGTTGCTACACCACAGCACCAGCGCCCCTCTCCCACAGACAAGCTGCTATCTTTGGATCCCCTCGTGAGCATACTTTCTGAGGTTCCTTGCACTGGGAGGCAGTCTGCTGGCATTTGGGGTGCTGCCACAGATGGGCCTAGAGGGAGGCGGAATGTGAGAGCGACAGTGCAAGGCTCGGAGGCCAGCAGAGAGGGGTGAGGCCCGGCAGGCAGGAGGAGGGTGCAGAGCATGCTTGCTTCAAAGGGGTGGGCCGCGCGGCAGGTACACGCAAGTGGCAACTTTTGCAGGGCCCCAGGGACATGTGCAACATAGGTGTGCCAATTTTTAAATTATCTTTTTTGAAAAAAAAAAAATCAGGGCCCGGCGCGGTGGCGCAAGTGGTTAAGTCCTCGCCTTGCACGCCCGGGATCCCATATGGGCGCCGGTTCTAATCCCGGCAGCCCCGCTTCCCTTCCAGCTCCCTGCCTGTGGCCTGGGAAAGCAGTTGAGGACGGCCCAAAGCTTTGGGACCCTGCACCCGCGTGGGAGACCCGGAAGAGGCTCCTGGCTTCGGATCGGCATAGTATCGGCCCGTTGCGGCTCACTTGGGGAGTGAATCATCGGATGGAAGATCTTCCTCTCTGTCTCTCCTCTCTGTATATCCGCCTTTCCAATAAAAAAATAATAAAAATAAATCTTTAAAAAAAAAAAAAAAAAAAAAAAGAAAAAAAAAAAATCAGAGACTGGGCCACCCCTGGGGTGTAGCAGATAAAGTGATTGCCTATGAAGCCAGTATCCCTTACGGATACTGGTCCTAATCCCGGCAGCTCCACTTCCCATCCAGCTCCCTGCTAATGCTCCTGGGAAAGCAGCAGAGGGCAGGTCAAGTCCTTGGGCGCTGAGCCACAAGTGAGACCCGGATGGAGTCAGTTTCAGCTGTGGTAGCCTTTGGGGAAGTGAATGAGCAGGTGGAGATCTCTTTCTGAGTAACTCAAAGTGAAAACACATCAGTTTATCCCGGAACCCCACCCCACCTCCACAGTCCCAAGCTGCTCCAGGGTCAGCGGCATCTTCCTGAGGACACACAGGTCAGGGGAGTAGAGGGGACACAGGCTGGGGCCTAAGGGTCGCTGTGGATAGCACCGGCGAGAGCACCCTATGGGCATGCATCAGAAGGTCGGCGGGACAGGCGTGTGGCCGGGGTGGAGTTACTGCCTGGGACATGCTGAAGGCTGGGGCCAGGTTCTGGCTGCACTCCCCGGCCCAGACCCAGGGAGGCACACCGGGGGCCAGCGTGAGCACCTGCACTCCTCTCTCACACGGGACACCCAGCCCCCTGCCTGTGGCCTGCATTGACCAGTACAGCAGCAAAGCATGGGAGAACGCTGCCTCTGTCTCAATAAAATGAGAATAAGTAAAATTTTTAATTTATTTACAAAAGGAAAGATGAATGCATGACCTATGATGGGCAAATGGATGGATGGGTACATGCGCAGATCTGTGAGCTGATGAATGGATGGATGGATGATGGGTGGATGATGGGTGGATGATGGGTGGATGGGTGGATGGTGGGTGGATGATGGGTGGATGGTGGATGATGGATGGATGATGGATGGATGATGGGTGGATGGTGGATGGTGGGTGGATGATGGGTGGATGGTGGATGATGGATGGATGATGGATGGATGATGGGTGGATGGTGGATGATGGGTGGATGATGGATGGATGATGGGTGGATGATGGGTGGATGATGGGTGGATGATGGGTGGATGATGGATGGATGATGGGTGGATGGTGGATGATGGGTGGATGGTGGATGGATGGATGATGGGTGGATGATGGGTGGATGATGGATGGATGATGGGTGGATGATGGGTGGATGGTGGATGATGGATGGATGATGGGTGGATGATGGGTGGATGGTGGATGGTGGATGATGGGTGGATGATAGGTGGATGGGTGGATGATGGATGGATGGATGATGGACGGATGGGAGCAGACAGATGCACACCTGCTTCCCCAGTGTGGGGGTCTGTGGCCAGGGGGACAGAGCTCTTGCAGGGCCTCCATCCTGAGCCTCTTGAGTTGAGCACACACAAGGAAGGGGCACCGTGCCCGGGATTGCCATAGAAACCTTCACAGTTTGTCTTTCTTCCTGAAAAGGGATGGAGACTTGAGAAAGGACAGTGTTACCGAGCCAGGCCGCAGGCTAGCACTGGCCTCTTGGCTGACATTTCCCGACAGCTGGCTAAGCTTCCTGCCAGACAACACACCTGGGCCCCTGGAGGCCGTGTGCCCTGCGCTGCCTCAGTGGTCCACGTGGTCAGGGCTCGGCACGGTGGGCCAGGGGCTGTGCAGGCCAGCCCGAGAGGCACACCCAGCAACAAGCACCGGGCCAGAGGGGCTGATGCTCACTGCAAAGGTCGGGATGAGGTGCCCGCTTTGGCCAGGAGGTGAGTGCACCCACCCAGGCCTGGTACCTGGGAGCGCTTCAACACAGAGGGTGGCTGGCAGAACAGACAGACGGACAGACGGATGGATGGACAGCCCTTGCAGGACTCGCCGGCCATGCCTGACCCGGCCGCCTCACCTCCTGTGCAATCCAGCCTCGCAGTCCTGGCACCAATGGCAATCCCACAGGGGCAGGGGGCTCTGGGTTTCTCCCCCACCTTCCCAGAGAGCAGCACCCCCACACTCAGGCCCCCACGCATGACCGCTTGCTGCAGCCGCAGGTCGTGCCCTGGCTCAGCAGGTGCAGGAGGAGACCGGGAGCCCAGGAAGGACCTGGCGAGCAGGAGGCCACCTGCCTGACCCAGGGTGCCTGCCGCTCCAGGGTAATGGGAAGGTGCTGACAGCCCCCTGCAGGGTGAGCGGGAGACAAAGGCAAGGGTGCAGCCAGGCCTCCGCAGCGCCCAAGGGAACGAGGGCAAGTCGCACGCCCATGAGAGCGTTTGTTGTATTCCTGCACAAAGCATTTTTATATTGAAAAAGAAGAGGGAGGAGGAAGAGGAGGAGGAAAGGGAAGGGGGTTAGGGACGAGGGGGGGAAGGGGAAGGAGGTGAGGAGGGGGGACGGGGGAGGCATTCCTTATCAAACGGATGTGGGAGGAGTGGACCTCGGGATCCAGCAGGTTGGGAGGGTGCCTGGGCCTCTGCTTGTTTTCTTATCAATCTTCTAGTTAACTAGTTAGTTAGTTAGTTAGGAAGAGTGACAGAGAAATGGATCTTCTGTCCTCTGGTTCACTCCGGGCTCCGCTCGGTCTGGGGCTGAGTGACAGAGTGGCATTCTGTCAGACCTGGACTGGCCCGACTGCCCAGGACAGCACTGCCAGCCAGGTTCATCTAAGGGAGAAGCAAGGCCTGTGGGGCCGGCGGGCCATGCCCTTAGCTCCGTGGATTCCTTTTGCTGAAGGGCAGGCAAGGGCGGCCTGGGTTAAAGGGAGACAGCAGGAGGCTGAGTCCTGCTCTCACAGCTCTGTTTCCAAGTGCAGCAGTGCACTCTAACCGGCACCTCCATACGATGCTACACTGACAGGTGCCAGCTTTAACCTCCGTGCCACAGTGCCAGCCCCTGACTGAAGGACAGTCTCCCGAGCGAGCGAACGCATCCCTGCCCTGCCCCCAGCCAGGTGCTTCACTGTCCCTTTCCACACTGCAAGGCCTGTCCCGGCTGCCCTGTGTCTGGGCTTCGCCTGGCCCAGCTTTGCCTCCTGGCCCCCTGTCCGGCTCGCGGCCAAATCCCTTGGCACACACAGGCCAAGGTGGCTTGTGCTCAGCGGGTCAGGGGAAGGGTCGCAGGTGTCCACCCCTAACCACCAGCAGACCACCCGGCCTCGGGGAGGGGGGCGTCTAGGGGAGTTCCCGCTGGACAGCCACGGACGGGAGGCGCGCGACCCACGCGGCGGGCCGGGGTCTCCGCGCGGCGCCCCTCCCCGCTGCGGGCCCGGAGGCCGCTCGGTTGCCTAGGCGATGCCCACGCCTCCGTGGGCGGTCTCGCAGGACGGCCGGCCCCCTGTGGGCGGCGCCGGCGGGCCTGGAGGAGGCGCGCGCGGGGCCGGCGCAGAGGAAATGGCGGCGCGGCGGGTGCGGGTGTGCGCGCTCGGCCTCCCGGCGCTGCTGCTGCTGCTGCTGCTGCTGCTGCCGCGACGCGCGGCCGGCCACGGCGGGAAGTACTCGCGGGAGAAGAACGAGCCCGGGCCCGAGTTCCGCATGGAGAAGCTGAACCAGCTGTGGGAGAAGGCCCGGCGGGTGAGCGGCAGCAGGAGACGCAGGCCCTGCTCGGCGGGGTGTCCCCGGTGTGGCCTGCCCGGGTAGGGGGTCCGGCGCTGCGCGTCGCGGCGGCTGGGGACTGGGATCCCCCGGAGCTGTCTGGGCCCCTTCAGCCCTGCTCCTGCCCAGTGTCCCCACGCCCCGCGCCCTCCCTGATCCCTCTCTCCCCCACGCCCTGCGGTGTGGAGACCCCAGAGCCCAGGTGGGGTCTGTGGTGGTGCTTATCTCCACCCCTCTCCCATCCCGGACCCTGCTCTGCTTGGGGGGCGCAAGGGCGGGCGCAGCCTCCCCTCCCCCGACGAAGGCCAGCGGTTGCCCTCCGGACAAGCCCCAGTGCTGGAAGGCAGGTCATCCGCTTGACCTCGCGGCTCCTGCATTCCTGAGATGGGGAATGAATAATTAGCCCAGAACCTTGGCCTGGGTGAGGGAGGAGGTGGGGGAGACTGCTGACCGCGGGGCGGAAGCCCCCAGGTGTGTGCTCAGCCCACAGTGGCTGCTGGCGCTCTCGTGAGGGCCCCTGACCCCACCACCTGCCCATCCAGGAGCCACGCTGCCCACTGCCCCTCTGGCCCACCCTCTGCACCTGTCGGCCAGGGGCGTCCTGAGGCCTTCGTGGCCTGGGCAGTGGCAGGTCACCTCCTGACTCAGCTGGCCCTGCTGACCTGGGCCTGTGCTGTCCAAGACCGTGGCCTTGGCCCACATGACCCCTGGCAGTCCATTGGAGCCCCCGAGTTGGCAGCAAGCATGGAGCCTGCAGGGTGGGCTTCCCGTGTCAGCGTCCCGTGCTGGGCAGCCCTGGCCTCCCTGCGGTGTCCAGGTGCTGCGACAATCCCCAGCCCAGGCCCTGGGGTCAGCGAGCCTTCTCTGTGCCCTATGGCCAGGTTGGTTTGCACTCACGCTTGGTCCTCACGGAGGTGAGACAGGTAGTACCCTTGCTGGTGCTGGCATGCGCTCTGCCCGCCTGCCGCTCTGGGTGGGTGAGCAAGCTCTGGGGAGCCGTGGGGCTGCCCGCAGCAGGAGTGCTCTGTGGGGAACAGCACACGGATGCACAAAGCCAGGGAGAGGACTGCCACGCGTGTCTGTTTTCCGAGTGGTGCTGTTACGTCACAGCGCATGACGCAGCCTGTTGTCCAGCGAAGCCGTGCTCCGCCTGCTTGCAGCCAGGGGAGGACCGGCCTGGAGCCTCGGTCCTGCAGGGGAGAGAAGGAGCCGCGCTCCAGGGAGGCACCGGAACCCACTTCCCGGGCTCCTGCCTGGTCCCTGCCCAGCACCTTTGGAAAGGCAGAGAGATCTTCATCTGTTGGTTCACTCCCAAATGCAAAGGTCTCCAGGCCGAACCTGGGGGCCCACGTGAGGGCACCCAGCTGCTCGAGCCATCGTGGGCACATGACAGAGGGTAGCTGGGCTGCAAGCAGCCGGGCTTGCACCTGCATGGGGTGCGAATGACTGAGGGGTAACTTAACTGCTGAGCCAGGCGCCTGCCCCCAGGCCGTATTGCACAATCCTGTTTCTATCGGAATGTGGAGGAACCGAGTCCGGCCGGCAGAGATGATGTACTGGGGGTTAGAGTGAGCTGGGTGATGGTGACTGTGGGTGTCCCAGCCCTGGGTGATGGTGGCGTGTGGGTGATGGTGACTGTGGGTGTCCCAGCCCTGGGTGATGGTGGCGTGTGGGTGATGGTGACTGTGGGTGTCCCAGCCCTGGGTGATGGTGGCGTGTGGGTGATGGTGACTGTGGGTGTCCCAGCCCTGGGTGATGGTGGCGTGTGGGTGTCCCAGCCCTGGGTGATGGTGGCGTGTGGGTGATGGTGACTGTGGGTGTCCCAGCCCTGGGTGATGGTGGCGTGTGGGTGATGGTGACTGTGGGTGTCCCAGCCCTGGGTGATGGTGGCGTGTGGGTGTCCCAGCCCTGGGTGATGGTGGCGTGTGGGTGTCCCAGCCCTGGGTGATGGTGGCGTGTGGGTGATGGTGACTGTGGGTGTCCCAGCCCTGGGTGATGGTGGCGTGTGGGTGATGGTGACTGTGGGTGTCCCAGCCCTGGGTGATGGTGGCACTGGATGGCCTGTGTGCCCCATGGCCTGGCATCTTCTCTCCATCTTTGACATTGCTGTCGGTTGGCGTCCCATGCCGGAGTCCAGCTCCAGTCCAGTTCGAAACTCACAAAGGGTGCATGGATTAGGTGTAAAGAAGAAATGGACCACTACAATTTCAGGATCATAATGGACAATGCTAGGAAGCTGCCCCCTTTATACAGAACCCCTCACAAGCTCTGCCACAAGCGGGTGTATCCAATTCTAATTCACCTAAAAACTCTCAAAACAAGTCCCTAGTATAATTCTGATTCTACAAGTCAACCTTGAATCGGCTAGGGGACGAAATGTATCACAAAGAAAAGAACCTAAAGATCAAGGAAAGAATGAAACCCTAAACACAGGTCCCTTGATTAGCATAAGGCCATGGGCACAGCCCAGACAGCCCTTTGGCAAGACTTTAATCTCCAAGCTCACATTGATAGGAAAAAGCCAACTCCACAGCAGTAAACAATGCCCGAATGGATTACAGAATTCTGCAGGGTCCCTGTCCACGCAAAGGGAGGTGGAGCTGCTTTCAGGTGGTTGTAGAGACATCCGCGGGTCCTGCCTGCGATGGAACAATACTCTCACATCTTCGTGTCCCCCACGTCCACTGCACGGACCCCAATAGTCCCAGTCTGGGTCCCAAGAGGTCCTTGTGCAGCTGTCCGGTGGGACTGGAGGGCAGGCGGGCAGAACTCAGGGCCGTCCCCTCCCTGTCCACCCTGTATCCTTGTTGGGAGCAAGGGTGGGCCGCATACTGCTCAAGTGCTCTGGAGTTCTGTGGGCCAGCCGTGGCCCCCTCCCTAGGGCCCTACCATCCTGCCCTGAGCTGGACAGGATGGCCACAGCCCATCGCGGAGGGGCCTGGCACGGTACTGCAGTCATCCTTGTCCAGCAGGTGGGCCCTGGTGCAGCTGGAGGCCCACGACTACAGCTGTGTTCTGGGCAAAGCATCAACAGGTGGTTGGAAAGTTTGAGAATCTTCTCCCGGTTATGGGTGGTGCTTAATTGGGACAGGTGGGTGAGAGCGAGCAGGAGCCGGTGAGCATGCAGGCCTGGGCCCACCACGGGTCCTAGGCCCGTCTCCTGGGTTACTTGGTGCCTGGCAGCCACCTCAGACAGGCTGCAGCCGGGAGTTTAACCCCAGAGGTCGGCGTGACTGCCCGTGGATCCCAGGTCTCACACTTGCTCCCAGGGCTGTGACTGCCAGCTTGTCTCTCTACAGCCACCGAGAAGCTGGCTGGCCCTGGTCAGCCAGGCACTGCGTGTGCCCTGGGAGTCCACAGTCTCCTGCACTCGCAGTGTCCCACATCTGGGTATGCAGGAGACAACAGGGCACTGGGTGTGGGGTCCAGACCCACAGGAGGCCCTGGGCAGAGACTCACCCCAGACAATAGCAGGCTGCTGTCATGGAAGCTTCTAGAGAATGGAGGCAGGGTGGCTGTGGGGTACGTGTCTGCAGGTGTGGGGAGGGCGGGCCCGCTCCCAGAGCCCTGAGCACAGTGGGTACACGCTCAGGCCAGCCCCGGGTGGCCGTGAGATCCACCACATCTGTGACTGGGAAGCAGGCATGGCCCCCTCGCAGGCCACAACCCCCTGCTTCTGACCCAGCTCTGGTTGATTTGCTGGGCCCCTGCACTCACGCGGGAGCCCCAGATGGAGCGCCTGGCCTGCCTGTGGGAGCCAGCCAGTAGGGTAGAGCTGCTCCGTGTCGCTCTGCCTTTGAATTGGTGCGTGTTCTGTAGCAGTGGTTCTCTCCCGGGCCAGCGAAGCAGCGCAAGCCCCACTACGGGGGCCCTCCCCAGGCACCTCGGCCGTGCCCCTGGCCGCTGCAGGCGGTCACCATGCTCTGCTCTGCCTTGGCAGCTCTCCCTGTCCCCGGTGAAGCTGGCTGAGCTCCACTCAGATCTCAAGATCCAGGAGAGAGACGAACTCAGCTGGAAGAAGCTCAAGGTCGAGGGCTTGGACGAGGACGGGCAGAAGGAGGCACAGCTGGTGCACAGCCTCAACGGTACCCCGCACCCCACACCCCCAACTCGCCTGGGGCTCCCCGAATGCCCGTGGCCAGCCCAAGCTGGAGGGGGGATGGGGAGAAGGAGGCCCAGCGGGTGCACGGCCTCAACAGCACCGCTGCGCGTGCGCCCCACACCCCGCCCAGGGCTTCCTCTGTGCCTGTGGCCAGCCCGAGCTGCTGGCGGGGGAAGCCTGGAATCCACAGCATGGGCTTCCAGGTGGAGTGGGAGTTCGGAGATCCCAGCTCCAGGAGCCCCCGGTCCCCACCCCTTGTGGCAGAGTGGGGGGCGCTTAGGAGCTCTACCCGGAAAGCTGGCTCCCAGGGCCTGGTGGGGCCAGCTGACGGCCCCCTTTGCTGAGCCCCTGCCCGGGTGCCAAGGCTGATCTGTGAGGAGTGGACACAGGAGGGACTCTGGGGCTTCACCTGTCAGTCAACCCACCAGGCCTCCAGGGTGGGGAGGGGATTGGTTCTCACACATGCTGAGTGACCCCTGGGAAGGAAACTTCCAGAACATCTGACACGTGCTCCACGGGTCTCCTCTGCAGTGATCCTGGCCAGGTACGGGCTGGACGGCAGGCAGGACGCACAGGCGGTACGCAGCAATGCCCTCGAGGACAGCACCCTGGACGAGGGGCTGGACGACCCCCGGCTGGAGAAGCTGTGGCATAAGGTGTGCAGGGCCCACTGCACGGGCCTCCACGCGCGTGCGTGTCCTGGGGGTGGGCTGTGGGGATCGTGCCTGTCATGTCTCATCCGAGGCCCGTGGGGGATGCTGAGGGGAGCATCCGGGGCCACCGTCCTCCCCTCCCTGGGTCCTTCTGTCACCCACAGCTGCCCGGCCTTGTCACGGTCCTCACAGGCTTGGCCCTGGCCAAGACCTGGGCCCAATTCCAGGGGCAGGTGGGCAGGAGGGCGGGGCCTGAGGGTGCTGACTGCAGGTACACTTCCCTCCAGGCGAAGACCTCAGGGAAGTTCTCCCGGGAAGAGCTGGACCGGCTGTGGCGGGAATTCCTGCACCACAAGGACAAAGTGCAGGAGTACAACCTGCTGCTGGGCACGCTGGGCCAGACAGAAGGTGCCGCACCTGCTGGGGCGGGCGGGCCGGGCGGGACAGAAGGTGGGGGGTGGGCTGGGCCAGACAGAAGGGGCCGGCCTGCTAGGGATGAGGGCTGCTCCTGCCCAGGCCCCCACCTGGGTTGGGGTGGGCAGGTGATGTCTGGTGACGAGGTCAGACCAGGCCAGCAGCACAGCCTCCTCATGAAGCTTCCGGAGTGTTCCACACAGGACTCTCCCTAGGAATGTAATTTTTCTGGAAAAATATCCCAGCAACTGGTGCTAACCGTTGCACATTGGGGACAGCCTGGAATGCAGTGTCTGCTCTCAGGGGCCAGGCCTGAAGGGTGCTTGGAGCTCTGCCTCTGTGTCACTCCTGTAGGGACCTGTGACAAGCTTGCCATGTCCTGGGGGCACCCGGGGTGTGAGAGGCTCTGCTCCTGTCACCCACCTCGGTTTTCCTGTGGGAATGTGGCAGAGGCCCAGCCAGACGTGACCAAGCTGGAGGCAGATCGTCCGAGCTGGGCAGACAGCATGCTGCCCGCGGCTCATGGGCGTGTGCTTCCGGCTCCACAGAGCTGCAGGACAACGTCATTGGCGCGGCTGAGCCGAGTCCTGTGCCCAGCGAGAGCCGGCACCAGGAGCTGAAGAACCGGATGCGCAGCATCAACCAGGGCCTGGACCGGCTGCGGAGGGTCAGCCAGCAGGGCTATGGTGCCGACGGCCAGGCCGGTGAGCCCCCTGTCGCCGCACTCCCCCCCCCCGCACCCTCCCCTTTTGGTGTCTGCACTGAGCCTGCGCCACCTTGACGTGCAGGGTCCAGGGGCTGACTACTAACGCAGGAACACATGGCCACCGTCACATGCCCTGACCTGAGCTGCCCCTTGCTGGCCGCACATGCCTAGGGCAGGGCTGGGCCCTCAGGAGCGGGCTATAGGCTGGGTGTGTGCAGTGACCCCTCCCGCTGCTGTGCCAGCTGCTGGCCGCCTGTGGGTCCCTGTCCTCATCCCCCACCCTCTGCCATGCCTCCACATCGGCTGGGCGCTGGCTGGGGCCCCCAGGACGCTTCGCTCTTGCGCAGAGTTCGAGGAACCCCGGGTGCTGGAGCTGTGGGACCTGGCCCAGTCGGCCAACCTCAGCCAGAAGGAGCTGGACTCGCTGCGGGTAAGTACAGAGCCGAGGGGCGCGGGATGGAGGAAGCCTGCAGGAGAGGCCGCTGGGCCGGGCAACCTGGCCACCGTCCCTGAGAGCCAAGTCACACAGGAGGGGTTGGGGCTTGCCCCCCAGGGCCAGACAGCTCTGCTAAGAACCCTGGAAGCCACGCTGGGTGCAGCCAAGACCAGGAGGGTGACCCTCGGGGCGGGGGCAGGGTTGGTCAGATGCGGTCACAGGCTGAGCCTGGGAAGATAGGCTCCGAGGCTGGCAAGTCCCTCCAGGTGCCCAGCTCAGGGTCACCTGCTGCAGGGGGACAGAGCAGGGGTGAGGCCGACGCCTGCTGGGGAGTACAGAACAGGGGTGAGTACAGAGCAGGGGTGAGGCCGGCGCCTGCTTGCAGGAGGAGCTGAAACATTTTGAGGTGAAGTTGGAAAAGCACAGCCATTACCAGAAGCAGCTGGCGCTGTCGCATGAGAAACTGCGGCACGTGGAGCGCCTGGGGGACCAGGAGCACCTGCGGCGCAACCAGGAGAAGCATGCACAGCTGGAGGAGCGGACCAAGGAGCTGGGCTACAAGGTGGGGGACTGAGGAACTGGGCTACAAGGTGGGGGACCAAGGAGCTGGGCCACCAAGTGGGGCCAGCGGGGCCAGCCTAGGGGACTGAGGAGCTGGCCTACAAGGTGGGGCCCTGGTAGGCAGGTGAACAGAGCTGTAGGTGGGCCCTGATGCCCCTCGCAGGTTGGTTCCCCAGAGTCCCGGGTGCTGGCATGAACTCCAGGTGCAGCCTGACAGATCCTGGGCCCGGCACGGTGGGGCGTTGGTGCTTGGGTCACCCCTCTTGAGGAGGAGGTATCTGAAGGAGCCACAGCCTGGGAGCCCTTGGGTGGACCCCGCTGACGGCCACCCTCTCCCTCCACCCCTGGCAGGTGAAGAAGCACCTTCAAGATCTGTCCAGCAGGATCTCGAGAGCTCGGCACAACGAACTGTGAGGGCGCTGGGTGGCCAGCATGGAGGAGGAGGCCCGGCCAAGGAGGTGAGGGTGGCAGGCTGCTCTCAGCAGGAAGACTGACCCCAATGCTGGACAAGGCATGTTCCCCACCTACCGGATGAGGCGTGTCCCCCACCTGTGGTGCGCCATCGGTGGCAACGGGCCACGCCCTGCCACACTGTCCCCTGTGAGGACCTGGCTGGGCAGTGGGACCACGTGTCTGCCAGTCATTGTCTGCCCTGAGATGTACAGCACCTTCCAAATACATGTGGACCCTCAGTGCCTGGTCTCTGGGCTGCGAGCTCTGCGGGCACTGTGGACGAGGTGCGCCCGCTGGCCTGCCCACCTTGTCATTCCCCTCAGGAACACTAGCAATTGAGGATTGGGGTGCATGGAGAGCTTCCTGGAGGAGGTGGGGGGCTCAAGAAGCCCTGACCCTTGCCATCTTGGACCCCACATCTGCTGGACTGGCCAACCCTGAGACGGAGCCCGATACGGCCTGCCCAGGAACTTGCTGTTTCGGAAAGGCTGGGCCGGCTCCAGTGGTGGTCTGTCGGAGCCCTGACCACAGGCAGGACGGCCTGGACATGCAGCTGACTGTGACGGAGCGCCCAGCACCCGGCTCGTAGCATCCCGTGGATCCCACAGTGCAGCCTTCGCGCAGCGTCTGCTGGCTGGCGGCATGCCCTCCGTGTCACCAAGACTGACTCACCCATTGCTGGCATGGGTGGGTGTCCTGGGGTCTGCGTGCCAAGGCGGTGCAGGCTGTCCCCACTCACCTTGGCTACCAGCCTGCTCTCTGACGCAGGCACCTGGCTTCCGTTCTGACCCAGCCCTGATCTGTGGGCCTGGGAAAGCAGCCGACGACACCCCAGCACCCACAGGGGAGACCTCAGCCTGGCACGGCAGCAGCTGTTGGGGGTGCCCAGGAAGTAAACCAGCAGACACCAGCTCTGCGCTTCTGCCTGTCCAGTGAGAAATGCAGCCTGGGCTGGGTTTCCGGGGCGTGGGGCTCGGCAGTGCCCTCCGGGCCTCCCTGGTGCAGTGCAGTCTTGCAGCTCAGGGTTCAGGACGGGCAGGGGTCCGGGAGAGGGGCCGTACCTGGCCCTGCCCACAGGGAGGGGGTGAGCGGGGGCTTCCTGCTGCCTGTGCAAACCCATGTGTGACAATGCATGAGGTCACGGCTGCCGTGGGCAGGTGCGGGAGGCAGCCAGCTGCCCGCACGCACCAAGGGCAGGGCTGGGATGCCAGAGTTCACTGCCACCCAGGGTGACAGCCGCTGCCCTGGTCTTTTCACATCCTGCCTGATGCTGGCCTGCAGGTGCTGACCTGGGGTTGTGCTGACCTGAGAACTAGGCACATTTCCAGGGGTGCGCACGCCCCCAACATCCCCACCTGTGGCTGGGAGGGGCCAGCAGCTCGAAGGCACACAGGTTCCTGAGCCAACCACCAGGGAGGCGGGGAAGACATCAGGGTCAAAGCCAGCAGGGGAGGGCTGTTAGCAGCTCCTGACCCCCAGGGCCACACTGGCCAGTGCCTGTCCCTCGGCCTGACGCATCTCCAGCGGCCGCACCCCCAGCACATTGCCCCCTCTGCCTGGCTTGGTCCCAGCATAGGCCGCGGGGGGGTGGCGTGTGTGCAGCCCCATCCTGGCCACATGTCACTCTTCAGGTGGGTGCTTCCTGGTACGGGACACCCCCAGCTGTGCATACACCCTGCCCCTTGGCGTCTCGCCCGCACAAGGGCCCAGATCTGGCCAGTCACAGGACAGCAGCCGGCCGCGGGTGGACATCCGCGGGGCCCTTACCCTCACCTTGAGCCTGCTGGGGCAGGAGGGCAGTGGCAGAGGAGATGGAGGCGTGGGCATGCGCATTTATTCAGCTGGCTCGTCCCGCGTGCACTGACCAGACAGCACAGGCTGGCCGGTCGTCCTTGCCTGGCTCCGAGCTACAGCGTCAAGGAAGGGGGTGGTGTCTCCACCTGGGGGGCAGCCCCGGACCAGCCGAGGCCGCGGTGACCTGTCCAAGCTAGACAAGAGAGGCCAGCCTGGACTCCAGGCTTGGGTGGCTGCCTCCGGCCACTCGCCCAGCACAGTCCCAGCCGTGCCCTCCGTGAGGCTCAGTGCGGGGCCCCACTCCGTCGCTGCTGCTGCTCCAGCTCCCACAGCCGCTCCTGCCGGGCCTGTGCGTGCTGGGCGCCCACACGGTGCGCCGTCTCCATGGCTGTGACGTCGATCTGGGCGTAGCGGGAGGCTCCTGCTCCTGTGAGGGGTGGGGTAAGGGTGCATGCTGGGCATGGGGGCGTGTGTCGGAAGGGCAGCCCGCCCTGGCCCTGCTGGGCCCCGCCGTCTAGGGACACCTACCTCGGACCCCCACACCTGCCTCCTGGAGCTCCAGCCCCAGGTAGTGCAGCTGCTTCCGGCCCGAGGGGCTGACGGGCAGGTTGGCGTAAGTGGGTGACTCCGGCCCCGGAGAGCCTGTGGAGAGAGGACCCACGATCTCCCTTTTCCTGTCCCACCCCCGTGGCGTGTTCCTGTGTGACACAACCCCTGGGTCCAGCCCGCTGCATGGCGCCTGGCACCCCTGTGTCCCCAGGGGAGCCCCCTCAGATGTGTCCACCTCGCCCTGGCTCCTGGCCTGGACTTTCCTCCCCTCCTGGCACAGGCAAGCTGGCAGCCCTGGGCCAAGGCCTCTCCATGTTGTGTATGCTGGGGGACATGGGCTATCCACGCAGCTCCCCGGAGTAGGTGCTCGCTGAGGGCTCCACAACCTCACCCACCGCCCCGTCACTCACCATGCCCAGGCCTTGCCCCCTCAGCCCGCTCCCAGCCTACCTGCGTGTGCCATCTCGAGGTCGAGGGCTGCCACTGCTCCCTAGACAAGGAGAGCATGCATCAGTGAGTCCCCCACCTCCCCTCGGCCCCACCGGGAACCCAGGAGTGACAGGCTGGGGGCAGTGGGACCAGTCCAGGCCACTGATCGTCAGGTGACCGCCGAGTCGGGGAGCTGGCGCCACGTGCCTGTTTGTAAGTCTGTTGTGATTTGGTTGGAAAGGTGGAAGGACGGAGAGGGGCCCGCCGTCGGCTGGTCACTCCCCAAGTGCCACGGCAGGTGTGAGTGAACCAGCATCACCGCCCGTGCTCCCACGTGGGCAGCAGCCTGGGCACGTGAGCCTGCTGCCCTCTGGGGTCTGCCTCGGCTGCGATCAGATGCATGGCCAGGACTCCAGGCTCTGACAGGGGCAGGGGTGTCTCTGGGGGCCCTGACCATGGGGCTGCAGTGGGCAGGGAGCCCTGAGGCTGGAGGTGAGCTCTTGGCCTCCCTCCAACCCCAGCCCCGAGCAGAGCAGTGGGTGCTGGTCCCAGCCAGGGCTGTGCCAGAGCATCCAGCCAGCCAGACACAAGCCCATACCAACTGTGGATTCCAGGACAAGAAGCTGAGAGCCTTGGGGTACTGTCTGGACCAGGGGCACAGCTGGCACCCAGGGAGGCTCTTTGCAGGTATGGGCAGTGGGTGAAGAGGCAAGGGGACCCAGGGCCAGATCAGTGAGTGGGTGCTGAGGCCTTGGGGAAGCTGGGGCCTCCACCCAAAGTGAGGACACGTGGTGGCAGGTGCTCCAACCGTGTGAACACGCACAGCCCCCTGAGGGCCACGTCCTGCACTGAGCCAGGCTCCCCTGGCCCAGGGGCTGGCAGGAGGTGACGGGTGGCCCCCGTCAGGCCCCTGGTGTTTGTGACATAAGCCACCCACACTCTCACATCATCACGCCATCTCACACGCGTTGCACATGTTCCCGCGTCACCTCGCATTGCCAGGGTCGCCTCGTGTTGTTTCGTCATGTCATCTCACATCACGTTTGCCCTCACATGTTCTCCGTGTCCCACATTGCACGTGCTGTCACATGTGTCCTTGCATGTTGTTGCATGTCATCTCACACACGTGACCTGTGAACCTCCCTGGGCTGCCCTGGGGGCAGGTTCCCCCGAGAGAGGAAGCGCAGCCTGAGGCTTGCGTGTGAGCCGTGCTGGGGCCTCGTGGCGAGTGGGGGCCGCTGTAGTTCAGCTCAACCCCCACGGCCCAGCCCGGGCCTGCAGCAGCCACGTGCTGGGGCCCCAGGAAGGCCAGAGCGGGGCCCCCATCCCTGGGGAATGCAGCAGGCAGGCCAGGGAGGACCCCAGGAAGCACCCAGGACCTCACAAACACCGCACACGTGTGGGGACACAGGCACATGCATGGGGACACAGCACACATGAACATGCCAAGGTGCTCGCAGGCACACACGTGCATCCGGGCGCTGGGGCAGCCTGCGGGGGGCCGTCCGCCGTGGTCCAGGGCGGCCTGGCCACAGGGAAGAGCATGAGGCAGTAAGAAAGGACCTTTTTATTTCCAGTGTGGAGTGTACAGACAGTGCCCACAGATGGCCCAGGTGTAGGTGGCCAGGGACCCCACTGACACCCCCAGCTCCCAGCCCTTCCAGGCACTTCCCGGGCCCCTGGGGCGCGCCAGCCCCTGCAAGCCTGGGCCCAGGAGGTGGGCAGTGCCGGGCACCCAGCCCCCTGAGCCTCCTTACCACAGGGACCCACCCAAGGTGCCAGGGGTTCAAGGCCACTGCCCAGGCCCGCTGCAGGGGAGGGGTCCTGGTGGCCGACAGAAGCCAGGACCAGGCACAGCGGGCCGGCCAGCAGCCGCCCCTGTGGGTGGGACACGAAGGGCAGACTGACCCCCAGCCTGCCCTGCCCAAGGCTTCGCCCCTCTCCTTGAGGAGGGTACCCCTAGGGTCGCCCAATCCTGTGGCTTCTCCAGGCGGGACACCCTCTCTGCGGGGCCCTGTCCGTGGCTCTCAGCGGGGGGACTTTACCTTGAGGCCTCCACAGACTGGACACGCCGCAAAGAAAGCTGGAGGGGACCCGCCTGCCGCCCAGGGCTCTCCAGGGGCGGCACCTGGCGGCTCTGCCCCGCTGCCCACAGCCGCCTCCGCCGTCGACTGTCCCCGACGTCTCACGCCCGGCCAGCCAGGGGGGCCCGCGGCGGACGTCTGGCCGCCCGGGTCCGTGGCCGTGGCGGTGGCCGCGCCGTCGTCAGCCCCGCCCGGCACGGGGGCGCAGCTCTGGTCCCTGGGCCCGTGGCGCAGGCTGCGGGGCGTGTCGTAGTGCGGCCGCAGCGCCGCGGGCACCTGGTACTCGGCCGCCCCGGGCGGGCAGCAGCAGCGGCCGGGCTCGGGCGCCCCGGCGGCGGGCTGCAGGCTGAGCAGCGAGCCCAGCTCGTCGGCCAGGCTGCTGCCGGCGCAGGACGAGACGCTGCCGCAGTAGGAGGAGCGGCTGCCCGTGGCGATGCCGCTATCCGAGGAGCTCTGGCGGCCGACCTCCTGCAGTGGCCGCGGCCGCAGCGGCCTGGGCGCAGGCCTCGAGGCGCCGGGGGCCGAGGCGTCCCCGGGGGCCTGGGCGCCCGCCGGTCCCGAGCCCTCCTGCGACGTGCCGGCCGAGGACGAGGACTGCTCCGGCCACGTGCTGAGCCGGCTGCTGCCGCTGATGTCCGAGTGACTGGCCTCTGAGGAGGAACTGGACAGGCTCCGGTCGTCCCCTGAGACAGAGCAGGGAGCGGCGCTGGGGCTGCCTGCCCGGGGGCCCTGCAGACTGGGCGTGCCTCCACCGCCCCTAGGCCGGCGAAGCCAACGCAAGGGCCCCGCTGTGGGCAGATGGAGCGGAGAGCCCAGCAGCCAGAGGGGTGCTCACGGCCAGCCCTGGCCCTACCTCCGCTTCCCGGGCGCCCCGACTGTGACAGCAAGCTGAGCCGTTTCTCCAGCTGCAGGGCCTCCTGGGCCCCCCGCTCCGCCATCGGCAAGGGCCCCCCTGGGCTGGGGTCTGTGGTACAGAATCACATCGGTGAGGGGGTGGCCATCTCTCCGCCCACCAAACCCAGGGCTGACCAGCCACTTCCTCGGCCCCGCAGGCCTCTGTCATTAGTCCCTGTGTCTGCCACGCTGGCATGGAGGTTCACGGGGCTCTCGGCCTGCTGACACTGCCAGGCCCCTCTCACAGCATGTCCGGGAACACCGGCCCAGCCGGCTCCGGCCTCTGCATCCAGGTAGTGGGGACCAAGGGGCTGCCCGTGCTGGGCCATGGGCACAGCTCCGAGCTCAACAGGAGACTTCCAAGGTCCTTCACTGACCGGGGGGATTGGTGTGAGACGTGGCCACCACCCCACCTCGCCATCAGCAGCCTAGTGCCTATGTGGCTGGAGGTCAGGAGGACCAGGGTCCCCCACCTGGGCAGCACCTGCCAAGCTGCCCAAGCACCCCTGCCGGCCACCACTCTCGTGATTATGCTGCAGGGTTTGTGGCCCTTGGCCAGCCCACCAGCCATCATGGCCAGCCGTATGCCTGCTATGGGGCCGGTCATATGCCCTGGCCACGCCCCCCCCAGGAGCCCAGCACGTGTCTTCCACGCCTGGTGAAGGCAGGGTGGGCCTGGGGAAGAAGCCAATTGCTATTGCAAGCCCTGATGCCCACGTGCCACACAGACCCCTGTGGCTGCAGGGCAAGAAGACACCAGCAGGGGCGCTGCTGCGTTGTCACAGGGCAGCCGCTTGGGGTGTGGGTGCCCTCCGTGGGAAATGGGGGGACAACAGAACTGTACCTCCTGGGGCAGCACCCTCCCGCCTGCCCTCAGCGGCCATGCCCTCAGAACTGTGCCTCCCGGGCAGCACCCTCCCGCCTGCCCTCAGCACACCTGGCAGGACTGGCCGCAGCCCGAAGGGGCCCTTGGTAGGGGAGATGCCACGGACAATGCAATCGAAGAGAAAGCTGATCTGCTCCCCTTCCGCCGAGGACAGGAAGAAAACTCCGGCCCCTGCAGAGGGAGGACAGGGACGTGGCTGAGCCTGCTCGCCGCCCCATCCCACCCCACGTGCTCTGAGGAGCCCCTGCTGCACCAGGAACCCAGGACAAACACCAAGTCAGATCCGACTTTCCTTAGCCACTCCCCCACCAGGTGACAAGGCCACCACACCATGCCCATGGCGACCCCTCTGTCCAGCCGCCCAGCTGTCTGGAGCTCGCAGTGTGGATACACTCGCTGAACATGTCCCAGGCACTGGTTCTCCCCGGCCCACTCAGCAGCAGGGAGCACCGCCCAGAGCCGGGCAGAGGGACAGGGACCAGGTGCTGGGCCTCCAGGCCTGGGAGCTGGCGCAGTCAGCACTGAGCCGCGCCCACAGCCCACGTGGTCCCAGGCGCCCGGCCGGCGGCCTCCCACTGGGCTGAGTCAGGGTGAATGAAATCCCTCCTGGTGAGTGAATGAGGAGGCCCCGCTGGCTGGGCACGTGGCATCCAGCCGTTGCCCAAAAAACTGCAGATGTGCAGGGGTCAGCCTGGATTCCAAGGGGATCGGGCTGGCCTCTGGGGTCCTGCTGCACCCCGCAGCCCAGGGGCAGGGGCAACCAGAGCCACAGCCACATGGACAGGATGTGGACCTGGCTTGGAGCAAGGGATTATGCAAGCCAGAGGGCAGGCTAGGGGAGGGTGGGCCAGGCTGCCTTGCCTGCCAAGCCACTCACTCGGTCGCCCCCTGCCCCCTGCTCCACCCCTAGCCACCGCCGGCACTCTCAGCCTGGGCCTCTGATCCCAAGCTCAGGCAGCTGGCAGCAGCTGAGGACAGGCAGTGCCCAACTATAAAAAACCACATTACCTAGGAGAGTGGAGCCTGGAGCCACTGGCATTCCCCGCCACACTCGCCCAAGCTTGGGCCAGCACAGATCCTGGGAGCACGGCCCAGAGCCAGGCCTGGCCCACTGAGCTGGTCTCAGAATCAGGCTGCCCTCCAGGGCTCACAGCCCCCCCCTCCCCCCGCTGTTCCTGCCACCACCCACGCCAAGCTCCCCAGGTGCTCCTGGGCTGTGGGACACACCTGTACCACCGCGGCCTCTCATGAGCCCTGACTCCAGACACCAGAGGGACCCCTTTGCTGGGCACCTGCCTGGCCCATCCCTGTCTGTCCGCTGCCCCCACTCCCCTCACCCGGCTCGATTCTCTGTGCCAGGGATGGAGCAGGGTAGCCCTGCCTGGCCCGGCCCATGCCCCTGTCCTGGGTGGCAGGTCGAGTCCAGTCCCCCGTCGCCAGCCCTGGTAGCACAGCTTCCATCAGGGCCCCTAGAGACCTACACCTGCTGAGAAACCCCACTGAGCACCCCAAGTTCCAGGCATGCCGCCGTCACCCTCCACTTCTGAATGCCTCCATGCCTGGACCTGTCTCTGGGGAGACAACCAAGACAGGGCCTTCCCAGGACCTCATCCCAGCTGCCTGGTCTCTGCGGCAAACGTGGCCAGGGGCATAGCCCCACCCTGCCTCCATGGCAGGTCTGGACACCCTGAGCTGCACCAGAAGCTTCTGCCCACCCTGGAGCAGGTGTCCAGGGCTTCCGCAGGTGCAAGGAAGCTGTGAGTGCCAAGGGGAGGTCAGTGGGGGCTGTCCAGGTGGCCGTCACAGAAGAGGCCGGGAGATGCGCAGAGGGGCAGGGCAGTCTGGGGTACACCCAGGGCCACCAAATGCCACTCATTGCTCCCAGGACAGCCTCCTCCTCACACTGCTGGGGCCACAGGGCCAGCAGTGCCCGTGGCTAGCTCCAGGCTCTGGCAGTGGAACGCAGCCCTCTCCCTGACCCAGGGCCCCTGGTGAAGGGACCAGAACCAGGCAGCAATGGGGTTCCCAGGAGCTGGGCAGGGGTACCTGCACCCAGCTTTCGTGCGCGGAATACGGGGGGTGGCAAGGGGGCCCACGCCCCGCAACCACTCATGCACAGTGCCTCAGTACTTACAGTAGCCACACCTGGTCCCGCCTTCGAAGATGAAGCCGCCGGGCACGGCACCATAGCGCCGCAGGTCCGACAGCTTCCACTGGCCCGTGACGGCCGGGGGGATGTCCCTGGCCAGCGCGAGGGCATCATTGCACAGGTGCAGGCTGGCTGGGCCACTGTCCAGCTTGGTGCCCGGAGCCACCGTCACGTGGAACCTGTGTACTGAGGCCGGCGGGGGCAAAGCATCACGGAGGCAGGCAGGCGGCCACACTGCCCGGGAAGCCAGTGAGCGCCCGGGCACCTGAGGGGGTCCCAGCAGGACTCTGGCCACCGGCCCCTGCCTCCTCCCATCCGGGCAGGACCCTGTCCACAGAGCACCCCCACCCCTCGGGCAGCTGGCAGGCCCCATCTCACTGATGGGAAAGCTGAGGCCTGGTCTCAGGTCAGCCTGGGGTGCTGTCACAGCCCTACACCGGCCCCAGATCACCCACTCCCGCCACAGAAGGAGGTGCAGCCCATGCAGGCAGGGCCTCGCCCCACTCACCCTCGCCCAGTGCGTAGCGGATGCGGGCGTCCCAGGCGCACATGGCCTCCCGGCTGTCAAAGCCCAGCATGATGGCCTGGGACAGGCAGACGATGGCCAGCGTGTGGGCCAGACCCTCATAGGGCAGGCCGGGCTCCAGACCACAGATGTGCTCCAGGGCCACGCTGGCCCGCTCCGGCAGGCCCCGCGCGCGCTCTGCCTTGTCCTTGTAGACCAGCATGAGCAGGCAGTCTGCAGGAGAGCGGTCATCAGGGCTCCAGGCTCAGCCCACCCAGTGTGTATGCCCACCTCCCACCAGGCTGACGGCTGGCACCCTGGGCCCTGAGCTCGCCTTCCCAGACCCTGAAGGGCAACTCCGTGTTCCCAAGTGCCCAGTGTCGACTGTCACGGCTGTCAGGGTCACTCCAACACAGCCAGGCCCAGAACACTGCGGCCTCTGGGGACAAAGCACGGGGCCCTGGCACCCCAGGCCGTGGCCAGGAGTGGGGGGTGGCAGTAGGGCGTGGATTTGAGCCAGATGCAAATGCCTGCCTGAGGGAGGGACCACACATGAGCCGAGCACCCCTCCCCCCCCGAATGTGCAAGTGAGAGTTTGAGCAGGCATCAGGCCAGGGTGGCTCCCCGGGGCAAGCGCAGGGGTGCAGCTGGTGGACCGTCATGATCTTGGGCACTCTGAATCCTGGGCCCCCCGGGCGGTGGCCGGAGCAGGCCCAGGGGCCACCGTGGACGGGGCTAGGAGTCCCACAGTCAGAGGCCGTGGCATGTCCTGCTCGGCCCCAGCAGCTCCTGACCTCGGGGAGGCGCCTGCTTGCCCACCTGCAGGATGGGCACCAGCCTCTCCCACCCACATGGCCACTTGTCCTCAACCCTGCCCCAGGGCTCCCCGCTCTGCCCCGTGGGCCCTGGTATCCCGGGGCCTCCGGCATCCTTCCCTATAGCCCTGGCTGGCAGTCCTCCCCGGCCTCACGCTCTCCTCTGCTCTCCTCTGCAGCTCCTAGCAGGCCAAGCCCCACGCTGTGGGTTCTGATCCCCCACCCTGCTCCTGCCGGGTCCTTCTGCATCCCTGTGCCCCGAGGAGCCCCTGCTGGAGAGCCCGCAAACTGCCCTCTCCCAGGCGGCTGGGGTTAAGTTCAGGATCCCCACATAAGTCGTCCCAGGTAGCAGTGACCAGTGACCACGTGGACACAGAGGGCCGCCTGTGAACCTCCTGACCCAGGGGCAGCCTCAGAGCCCAGAGGCGAGTTTCCACAGTGCTGGCCCGCCACCTGCTTCTCCCCTGCATCTGGTGAGGGGCACAGCACAGCGGCGGGAGGGAGGGGCCGGGCTGGAGCCCAGCACCTGCTCCCGGTCCTGGCCGCCAGCACGCCAGCCCATGTGGCGGCACGAGGCTATCAGCAGCTACCTGCTGCCAGCGAGACGCAGAGCCTGGCAGGGTGAGGCCCCAGAGCAGCCTGCCTGCAGTGGTCCATCAGGTCAGCCCAGACCACCCACGGCACACAGCCTGAACCCTCGGGGGCTCCTGCCCAGCAGCCCGCATTGCCCACTCCCCACAAACGTATCCAGCACAGGCTGGCGCTCACACTGCCCTTTGTGCACGCTTGAATACTCGCACTCTGACACACTCACATTCATGTCTACACTGGCGCACACAGACACCCCCACATGGCACACTTGTTCACATACATGTGCAGTGCAGCCAAGGCCCTCCCACACTCACCCCTGCCGTCACTGAAGCTCCAGCAGGGCGACAGCCAGGCTGGACCACCACATATCTGAGAAATGGATGTGAGCCCCAAGCCTACGCAGGCCTGTCTACACCGAGCCCAGGGTCAGCCAGCAGCCCCAGGCTAGTCCCCTGAGCCAAGGGCTCTCTCAGAGCCCACTCCCTGCACCCTGGGTCTTGGTCTGACCCTGCCTCCTGCATACACTTCCCGAGCTCCCCCTCATCCCACAGGGGTGCCTGTCAGATGCACAAGTTAGCAACCAGAGCTAGCACAGGCAGGGGCAGGCGGCCACAGGCCAGGCAGGGCCAGCAGGGAGCGAGTGATGCGGGAGCCCGGAGCTCGGGGCTGTGCCCCCGGGGGACAGAGGGGAAGGGGTGCTGGGAGGGGCAGAGCCAGGGTTCGTCCTGGACACACAGGGCTGAGCCCATCAGACCCCAGGCTGCGCAGCAGGCGGGCGGCTGGGCGGGCGGCAGATGTAAAAATAACTCAGGAGTCATGAGCTCATCCGAGGCTGTGGGGAGGGCCTCCACGGGGGCGGGAGAGGAGAGGAGGAGAAGAAGGAAGACAGGAGGGAGGAGGAAGCTCCGGGCAGCCGAGGGACGGGGTGGTCCATGCCCACGCGGGACAGGGAGGAGGTGCCGAAGCCACTGTGGGTTTGTCCCTCAGATGTCACAGCGACCTTGAGGCAGGTGTGGGAGGCAGCGGGCAGGAAGAGAGCCCAGGCCTGCTTTGGGCTAGGGGACAGGTGCTCGCATATACCTGCTCCACCCAGGTGGGACGTGTGGGGGCCGTGCAGCAGAGGGAGGCAGGCACGCAGCCCCACCAAGGATCCTCCCAAGCCCTTGCCCTGAGATAGAGCCCGCGGCCGCCCGAAAGCCTGCACATTCTCAAGCCCGCATTAGGGAAATGGGGCTGCTAGCTGTGGGGTCCAGGGTCCCCTACAGCACAGCCCAGCTCAGCCAGCTGGAGGACTCATAGGATGTGGGGGGGGCAGGCTTGGGCCCCTCCCCTTGCCTCGCTCCTGTACCCAGAGACCCTGAGTTTGGGGAGCTGACCGCAGGGCAAACACTGGGGCCGAGAGAGGCGCAGGGAGAGGGTTCCTCAGCCTGGGAGTTGACCCCACAGCTGGCCGTGCAGGGACGCCCCAAAGCTCCAGACGGTCTGCAGGAACCCCTCTCGGCCACAGCACCAGGGCAACACCCCAGCCCAGAGCGCAGCAGCTTGCACTGAGCTTCGGGCAAGAAGCAGGGGGTGGGACAGGGTCCTGGGACACCCCCCAGGCTGAGTCTGCAGAAAGGGGAGGTGTGGACAGGGCTCCCCAGGGCCTGGGGCTTCCGCAGGGCCAGGCCGGGGAGGACAGGGCAGGAAGGAGCAGTTTTCTCAGAAGAAAGAGGTGCAGGGAACTCAGCTGGGGCAGCTTCAGTCAGTCACCGGGGACCCCCAGGGCCGCTAAGGTTACCCCACTCCAGGGCCTGCGTCTGAGCTTGAGGGGCCTGCGTGGTGAGACCATGGGGACATGGTCACTGATAGGACAGAGCCAGCCAGGGACAGGGCACCTGCTGCTTCACCACCTCACCCCTGCCTCCTCCCACCTCACCCCTGCCCCCTCCCTGCTCTGTCTGCCTGTGTCCCCACCTCCCTCTATATTTCACAGGAGAGCAGCTCACCCTCGCAGGTCCCGGTGCAGGAACCCCACACCTTCAGGCCCAGCAAGCACCCCCTTTCTCCCACCCCAGGTTCCACCTGTGGATGCTCTTGTGGTCAGGGCAGGGACAGCTGTCCCTGGAGCCTTCTCCACCCAGCCTCTGCCCACCCCTGAGCACCAGGACCCGGGGATCTGCCCCCAGCCCACCAGAGCCTTTGGCCAGGGCCCTGTCTGCCTTTTCCCAGTGGGACAGTCCTCTCCGCGCCCCTATGCCAGCGCCCAGAGGTCCAGGGCCACCCCCTCCTCAGCTCAGGCCTGGGCTGAAAGTCCTGCGTGGCTCAGGCTCCGGAGCTGCGCTGCCACAGCCCGCCACGCCCACGGCCCCGGGCGGACCGCACGTGCACCGGAGGCGTGAAAACCCTGGGCAGGCAGGGCGCCAACAACACCATGGGCGTCGAGAGGCGGCCCCTCTCTTAACCCGGGCGAGTGAAGGCCTCCTCCCTGCGACACCCACGCCGCGCGCCCCTGCCCTCCCGGGCTCTGAGCGTCGCCCACCCGCTCCCACCCGCAGGGTACAAGAGCCTCCCCGAGGACTGGGGCACTCGGCGGGCCCGACATCCCAGCGCCTTCGGGCCTCAGTGTGCCCGCGGCCGGGAGGGGTGCGGGGCGCGCGGCCGCCCGGCACTCTCCGGTTACGCGAGGCCGGGTTACAGCAGCTGTGTCGGGCCGGCGCCGAGGGGTCCGCGGGGCTCGGCGGGGAGAGCGACCCGCGCCCACCCCCGCCCCGCCGCGCCGCGCGCTCACCTGCCACGGGCGACGGCTTGCGCAGCAGCAGCCACCTACTCTTCCACTGCGGGGACAGGGGGGCGTGAGCGGCCGCCCGCGCGCCCCCCGACCCCGCCACCGCGCCGCGCCGCGCCCGGACCTTCTTGCCGTCCCGCAGCTTGACCTGGCCCTCCACCAGCGCCGCCTCGGTCATCTTCGGTCATGGTTCCGCCGCCTGCGCCCGCTCCGCGCCCGCGCCCCGGCCCAGGGTCACTTTGAAAATAGCTCCGGGAGGGCCCTGGCCGGGCCAGGAGGGCGGGGACCCGCGCGGCGCCGGGCGGGGCCGAGGCGTGGACACGCGCTCCGCGAGGCCGGCGGCCGGGCAGATGCGGGTCCTCTGTCCCGCACTCCCTCCCACCGGCCCGCAGAGAGGGGCGCAGCAGAACCCCGGCGGGGGCGCAGGCTCCTCTTCGGAAGAGGGGCCGGGAGGGCCAAGAGGCGCCGGGCTGGCGACGCCATCCCCCGCCCCTCCCCCAGCCCAGGACATCCCAGGCGCCCACGCACTGGGCGGGGACCACTCATTGCGCCCATTGCACTGCCAGCATGCACCGGCTGATGGCCCCGGGTTTCCAAGAGTTCTCCTGGCCCCTAGCCGGATTGGAGGGTGTTGCTCTGCCCTGCACCCCTTCCCTAAGGGTGGACTGTAAGTCTGGATTCCCTCCCGGTCCCTGCAACCACAGTCCTGCTGCCCCCGCGGGCTGCCCACTCCAAGCTCTCTCCCTGAGGCCAGCAGCTTTGGGGAGTCGGCCGGCCTTTTCCAAATGTCTCTAACCCAGGGCGTCGGGGCAGTGTGATATGCCCTGTCCATGGAAGCACTGAAAGCCATGGGTGAAGGGCTGGTCAGTGGGCACTGGCCCTGGCCAGGCTGGGGTCTGTCCCCTGCCACAGAGGGCCGTGGCAGACTCCTGGTCCGACGGGTCTCTCTTACTGATGCATAGATGGGCCCAGGAGGCAGCTCTGTGTGTCCCCTCCCCCAGTAGGCGGCTGGCTCTGTTCCCCTCCACCACCATCACCTGTGCATCCAGCGCCCCCCAGGCCTTCTGCACAACAGTTGCCAGCCACAGAGCCCCATTCATGCTCCCGCCCAGCTCAGGTCTCCAGGGGAAGGCTGGGACAGCCGGCGTGGAGTCGGGTGGCAGTCGGGGGCTGTAGCCACGGCCACATCCGCTGCCCTGAGTGCCTGGCACGGGGAGGGGTTGGGCTAACTGCATTCCGCAGCCCTGGCTCTGGCCCAGGCCCCAGTGGCCTATGGCAGCTGCACCTGTTCCCATGCTGGCCCCCAGGAAGTGTGGGCGCCGCGGGGACTAACAGCTCCCTCCCCTGCCCCGTCCCCACTTTGCCCCCAAAGCCCCAAGGCACACACAGCTTTCTGCTGGGGGCTGAGAACTCTCTCTGTGATCATGGGTGGGCTCCTGCCACTCCTGCCTCAGTTTCCCCAGCTGGCACAACCAAGTTCATTGGTTGAAGATGGAAAACGGACTCTGAGGTTCACCGGTAGCTGCCTGGGAAGTGGAAAGGTGGCACAGCCCACGCCTTGGAGTGTGGCTGCCACTTCCAGGAAGCCCATGGCTGAAGTCACAGTTGCAGCACTGACCACACAGCTATGGCTGCCATCCTGTGGCCACAACCAGCCTGGGGCGCCCCCTCAGCAGCCACCGCTCCTGCCACAGTGCCGCTGTGGGACCTTCCTCTGGCTGCCTGGTGGTGCCAGGATCCAGAGCCTCCCAGGCCGCCGTGTCTGGTGCTGCTGTTGGGGACTGGCACTGGGGTGTCACTGCACTTCACTCAGGCAGCAGGGCCGAGCCCTGTCCGGTTCCTGCTTCAATTCTGTGTGATCATATAGCCCCAGAGAGCCCTGCGCAAGACTCCCCCACCCTCAGTTGCCTTGGCAAGCATGGGCCCCGCCTGGCCTGCTGAGGAGGAGCTGTGGGGGGAGACTTCGGGGCTGTGGCACGGTGAGTCAGGCACCCATGTGGATTAGGGTCACGGTTGTTAGGGTTAGTTAGGCCTCTGCTGCCAGTTGACACCACGCATGGGCGCCGATTCAGCTCCCTCGTGTGGAAAACGGAGACCTGGAGGACGTCCCCTGGCTCCTGGCTCCTGGCTCCTGGCTGGCCCAGCCCTAGCCACTGTGGCCATCTTGGGACATGAAACAGCAGATGGAAGAGAGAGAGTGTGTGTCCTTCTCCCTGTAGCTCTGCCTTTTCAAATTGATCAAATAAATCGTAAACATTAAATGAAGCAGCTGTGAGGCCAGTGGCCGAGGCACAGGTGGGAGGGCCTGGGCTAGGAGCAGCAACTGTCCCTCAGCGTGGTGTCTGTCCTGAGGGAGGTCCCCGCGGGCTGCGCAGGCCGCAGTGTGGCCACAGTGGAGGGAGGGCTGGCGCGGGGAGAGCATTCCAGACACTGCAGCCCGTATCTCGGCATCCCCGTCCTGTCCCGGGACACCGTCCAGCTCGGGTAGGCTGATTCCCCTTAGATGGACGGCAGGTTCGAGACCAGCTCCCGACTCAGCTTCGAGCCATGTCATCCCCAGGGTGGTGTCCAGTGGAGGCCAGCGTGGGTGGGCTTGTGGGATCCTGTTTATTCTGGGAGGAAGTAGGACAGCGGCCCCCCCGGGGGTCTCAGGAGGGAGCCACAAGCCGCCTGGAGGGCCGTATCCGGTCAGTGATCCAGTCTACATAGTTAGCCACTCTGGTGTAGACACCTGGCTTGTTGAGCCTTCCGCAGCCGTCACCCCAGCTGATGATACCGTAGAGGTAGGCCACGCCATCCTTGTCACAGACCAGGGGCCCACCCGAGTCGCCCTGGACAGAGAGCAGGGTCACAAGCCAGGCCCCACCTTGCCTGGCCTTCCCCAGGCCTCCTGGGCCGTCTGGTCCTGCCCACCCCGGGAAACGGCCAGGTCCAGTTCTCGCATTGCGGGGCTGCCTGGCTGGCACCGCCGGGCCGGCCGAGCCCTCCCCTCTGCGAGGCGCCCCTCCGCGTGCAGCGCACCTGGCAAGCGTCCGACTTGCAGTCGAAGTAGCCAGCGCACAGCATGTTGGGGCTGATGTCGGCGCCGTACACCTCCGGGCTGCTGCACTTGTGGTCGGCGACCAGGGGCACGAGCGCTTCCCGCAGGACGCTCGAGTGGCCGCTCGAGTCTGCCCACAGCAGGCTGTTTCAGGGAGGGTGGCGCCGGCCGGGCCACGCCCACCGCCCTGCCCGCCCGCCCGCTGCCCACTCACTCTCGTCCACGTGTCCCCAGCCCGAGATCTGGCACTTGTGGCCGGCGGGGAAGGTGCTGCCCGGCTCCGGCAGGCAGATGGGCTGCACAAACTGCGAGCGCACGGCGCAGCGCTCGCCCTTCTTCTTGAGCCGGATCAGGACTGGGCCGGGCAGGGGTCACAGGTCACAGGCCGGGGTCACAGGTCACAGGCCGGGGTCACAGGGCACAGACCCCTCCCCCTGCTGCTCACCGAGGTCGTGGTCGCTGGGGTTGAACACGGAGTACAGTGGGTATGACACATACTTCTCTATGGCAAACACCTGGGTCACGGCCGTGGTCTGGTTGAAGAAGTGCTGGCCCAGCACCACCGTGACGCTCTCCTGGGACGGGCTACATGGGAGAGGGCGCGGCTGCTGACCCCCACACGGCCTCTCCAGGACCTCGGCCCAGGACTGCCCCTTACCCCTGGCTGAGCCTGGACACCTTCAGTCCCCACCCCCACCCCAGGGTCCTGAACTCAACAGGCCTGGTCAGGTGGAGTGGCCGGCCTGTTTCCATGTCTCCAGCTGCCCACCTGCCCTGGGCATCGGCCTGGGCATCCCAGGAGCCCCAGCCTGGCCCAGCGGCAAGCCGGGGCCCTGCCACATCCCCACACTGCCCCAGCACAGGGCAAAGCTGAGTCGTAGCTGAGGACCTGCCCCAGGCTCGTGCCCCCAGCTCTGGAGTACATGCTGGGGGCACAGAGGGACTGGTCAGGGGCCCAGGCAGCCAGCACACCTGCTGGCGAAGCAGTGGGCGGCTGACACCACCCAGCAGGTGTGCACGAGGCTCCCAGAGCAGAAGCTGTTGCCAATGTAGACGGCGGCCAGCCAGGGGTGGGAGCCGGGTAAGGCGGATGAGCCGCCCACAATACGCGGCCGCAGGAAGCTCCTCTTCTTGTGCCTGCGCCCGCAGGTGGGCCGCGCAGCTGCCACCGGCTCAGCCAGCGGCACCAGGACCTCCGACACCCGGGGCTGGATCCTGGCCAGCGTTTCTGAGGACCAGGGCACTAGGTCAGGGCTTCGGGGTCGTGGTGGGCGCACCACGTGTGGCCAGCTCCCTAGCATCAGGGGGCTGGGCTCTGAGGCAGCCCCCTGGCCAAGGTAGTCAGTCTCCCCACCACCCACCCCTCCAGCCCCAAGCCCTGGGGTGCAGGTGACGGCTGTTGGTGACGCTTTGCCTGCAGGGGCACCTGCTGGAGCCCACTCACGCTGACCCCTGCATTTACAGCCCTGGGCAATGTGTGCCCAGAGGGGACTGAGTGACCGCGATGCCAGCCACGTCCTTCCGCGCACCGATGCAGGCCGGGAGGCGGCAGTACTCCCAGGATAGCAAGCTGTCCTTCACCACGTAGCACCAGGGGCGCTCGTCCCTGTCCGGGTTCCTGGTGGACAGACAGGAGGACAGGGCAGAGGCTATCGGGGTCCCTGAGCGAAGGGTTCTCCCGGGGCTCCCGCTACCCAGCCCTCCCCTGGGCAGCTTCCAGCCATCCGCAGCCGCTGACCGGCAGTATGCGTGGGGACCCAGACCGAGCAGGGCCGCCGTGGCCACCGAGTCCACGTGCAGCTCCTGGTAGAGCAGGTCGGAGTTCCAGGGCAGGCAGCTGAGGCCCGAGGTGGTCGTGTTGGCCACACCGCGGTAGCCAGTGCCATTTCCCTGAAAGCAGTGCTGGGAGGGCACTGTAGGACGGGGAGGCACAAGGCAGGCGGTGAGGAGGCCCCGCCCCGTCCCGCAGGCCCCTCCCCTCCTCCAAGGCCCCGCCGCGATTAGGCTCCACCCATCCAGACCCCTGCCCTCCCTGCAGGCCCCGCCCCTCGCTGCTGGTCCCGCCCTCCCTACAGGCCCCGCCCTCCCTGCAGGCTCCGCCCCGCCGCGCGTCACTCACCGATGTTGCACAGCCGCCCGGCATAGCCCGGTGGACAGGCGCACACGGTGGTCCCCGTGGCCACGATCAGGTGGCAGGTGCCCCCGTTCAGGCACGGGCTGCTCTGGCAAACTGGGGCAGGGCCGGAGGCTAGCCCGGGTCTGCGGAGGGAGCAGCCCAGGTCCACCCAGCCCCAGGGCGCAGGCCCCCGCCGAGCCGGCTGTACCTGTGTGGGGCGCGTCCTGGCACCGGGCCCCGCCGGCCCGGCACTCGCACTGCTCCACGCGGCCCTGGCGCACGCGGGCCCAGCGCTCGCCCAGCGGCAGGTACTCGTGGCGCGTCTCGTCGAGGCATCTTTCTGGGGACGGCAGCAGTCGCCCTGCTCAGCGCACCCTCTGCGGACGATTCCTCCCCCCGAGTTGCCCCCAGGCCCTGGGCGCTGCTCACCTGTGCCACAGTCCCTGCCCGTGAAGGCCGCGGGGCAGGTGCAGTGGTAGGCGGCGGGGTCCTGGGAAGGGGCGCAGGAGCCGCCGTTGCGGCAAGGGCTGGAGGCGCAGGGGTCTGGGGCGACTGCGGCAGCGGGAGGACTGAGGGTGAGGCCCTCTCGCACCCCTGCCCAGCACCTGGGCACCCCAGGCTCCGCCCCCTCCCTTTGCCCCACTCCCTGCGGTGAGCCTGACTTCACCTACCGTGGCCACCGCAGCCCTGTAGGGTTCTGGGGTCCCGTGTTATGGACGCTGTGCCCTGAGCTGATGGCCCCACCCCTAATTGGCCCTTTGACCCCTGGCACCCCCTCCCCAAACACTTGGGAGGGCCATGTGTCTCCTAGCTGGAGCTCTGGCTGCGCACACAGACACACAGATACATAGCCGTACATACATTCTCACACACGACCCCTCCACCTGCCCTGGCACCCACCTGGGCCCTCAGGACTGGGGGCCTCCACACAGTAGCCCCAGGCCCGGTCCCGGTCGTAGTTATGGGTTGTGGCACACCTGCCAATGATGCCAGGGTCCCGTGATGAGGGATCCAGCATGGAGCCCCCCATTCGCGGTTTCTGGGGGGCCCCGCCCGTCCAGACTTACCACTTCCTGTGAGCGCCTCCTGCGGTTGTACACGAGTGCAGCATGCGGCCGCCATAGCGGAAGGGGAAGCTGCAGGGCTGGCCAGCCTCTGTGAGCACTGCGGCGGCATGGGGCAGCAGCTGGGCTTCCACAGGTACCCCCTCTGCTGCCCCACACTCCACTCTTGCCTTTCAGGACCCCCACCCACCTTGGGGTCGCACTGGCTCTGGAGCCTTAGTGGCCAGGGTTGCCAGGGTCGCTGAGGTCGCTGAGGTCGCTGAGGTCATGGGGCTCACAGGGGTCTCAAGGGTCCAAGAGGTTTCCAGAGTCCTGGGGCTGCCAGGACTGTCCAAGGTCGCCGGTTCTGGGGGCTCCGTGTAATTCTAGGAGGGGATGTGGTGCTCCTGGCACTTGGGGCACAGCCTGAGACCTCTCCTTCACCCTCCCTTGGGGACAGGATGGGGTTATATTCCCAAGATACCTCATGGCTGAACCCTGAATCTGGACTGAACAGACCCTCAGAGGCCCCCTGCTTTTCCCACAAATATTTGAATGCAAGCAAGGTTCAGGTGTGGGGGTTGTGGCAAGCCCAGGGCGCCCAGCTCACCCAGCAGGCCCTGCCAGCAGTGTCCCAGGGATCCCGGTGGGCACCGGCAGCCCTGGCCCGGCTGCAGGTTGGGGGAGGGGCCCAGCTCACCCTGCCGGCCGGTGGGTGGGACCCTCCAAGCAGCAGAGGCGGCAGCAGCAGCAGCAGGAGCAAGGAGAGCCTAGGTGGAGGGTCGGGGTTGGGGACCCAGGCCCAGCACCCCATGGCTCCTCCTGGGCTGGCGTGAGGGGCGGCAGGAAGCGAGAGTCGGCAGGCGAGGGTCAAGGTCACCCAGCAATGATTAACCCCAGCTGCCGCCCAGGCCAGGCCCATGCCAGCAGAGCTGGCCCCAAGTTCCCTGGACCCACACCTGCTCTCCCAGGCCACCTTGGCCCTGCTCCAAGCCAGCTGCCCGATGGGGCTCAGCCCACACTGACCCTGGACCTGACTCAGGGAGGGCTCGCAGGGTGACACAGCGGGTGGAGCCTGGGCCCCCAGAGCTGGCTGTTTCCACCCATGAGCTCATCACGTCAGGGTCCCAGCCCAACCCAGGCCGGCACGGCCACAGCTCTAGGGGGCCACAGGCTAATGCAGAAGTGGGCTGGCCTCATTCCGAGCCACACAGCGGCAGGGGTAGGCACCCATATAGTCTTCCAGAGTGTCACCTCAAGGTAGCAGGGCCCTGGGATGCCATGGTGGCCAGGCCGGCCTGAGCTACTGCCCCATGGGCACTGCTGGGCTGGCCTGTAGGAGCCAACCCCAGGCAGAGCAGGGGACCTGCTGGGACATCGGAGAAACACCTGGGCTGGCTCCACCCTGAGCTCACCAAGAGTACAACTGCCCCGCCTGGCTTCCAGGGATTGGCCTGCAGCCAAGTCATTCTGTATCCCCAAACCCAAGCTTACCACGTGGGTGCTGCCCAAGGTGGGCACTGGATTCAGTGGGTATTGGGCAAGGTGGTGCTGGGCACGGTGGGTCCTGGACATAACGGGTGTTGCGCAAGATGGATGATGGGTCGGGCCCGGCAGTGTGGCCTAGCGGCTAAAGTCCTCGCCTTGCACGCGCCAGGATCCCATATGGGTGCCGGTTCTAATCCCGGCAGCTCTACTTCCCATCCAGCTCCCTGCTTGTGGCCTGGGAAAGCAGTCGAGACAGCCCAAAGCTTTGGGACCTGCACCCGTGTGGGAGACCCAGAAGAGGTTCCTGGTTCCCAGCTTCGGATCGGCATAGCACCGGCCTTTGTGCTCACTTGGGGAGTGAATCATCGGATGGAAGATCTTCCTCTCTGTCTCTCCTCTCTGTATGTCTGACTTTGTAATGAAATAAATAAATCTTAAAAAAAAAAAAAAGATAGATGATGGGCACAGTGGGTGCTAGGGGACGCTGGGCAATCTGGGTTGTAAGCCTGGCTCTGACTCACTGAGCCACACTGTGGCTGAGCGCGCACACACACACACACACACCCACACACAACACCCTCCTCTGGCCCCTGTGCTCACTGCTGCTACCCTGAAGCCACAGTCATGCTGCATGCTTGGCCAAGTCTTTCCAACCAGTGATTTATTTGATTACTTAAAAGGTAGACAGAGAGGTCAGTCTTCTGTCCACTGGTCCACTCCCTGAACAGCCACCACGGCCTGCTGTTGCCCGTGTCGCAGGCAGGAGCCTGGTGGTCCTTTTGCGGCCCCGAGGTCCAGGAGCTGGGGCCTGACAGGTAACTAGACGTAGGACGCCACCATGCCACCCACTGCAACAGTCCTCAGCCTGGACCTGCTGGGCTGTGGGGGTCTCCCTGACGCCCCTCTTCAGGCCCTCTGAGACCTGTGTGCACATGAAGCCAGGCAGGAGCGGCCATACAGCTGAGGCCCAAGCCTTCGGCTGCCCGTTTCTTGGAGTGGATGGAGGGGCTGACGAGGTGGGCAGAATGTGCTGGGATGAGCGTGGACCCCAGGCTCCAGCCTGCGCAGTGTGGCCCCCTGGCCCCCCTTCTCTGGCCTGCCCATGTCCTCCAAGGGCTGCACGGGGAGGTGGGGCCGAGGCTAGTCCTTCATCCTCTCCTAGGTTGGCTCCAGGCATTCCCAGGCCCCCCGGGGCAAACGTCCAGGGACCCACATGGCTGCCCAAGGCTGGGCCCACGCAGGTGTCCACTGGCAGAGTCAAGGCAGGGTGTGGGTGGCTCAGACGAAGGTGGCGTGATAGGCGCTGGCCTGGGGTTGAGCGGGCACCCCTGGGCTGGGGCTCCGAGGGACGCCGTTGCCCGGTCCAGGGGCTGCCCCTGCGGCGAGGTCCCCTGTGGCGGTTCCCTGGGCCCCTCCTCCTGTCAGAGAAGAGAGACAGCGTCACTGCTTGACATGCCCAGGCCTGCCCATCCCCAAAACACCCACAGACCCCCAGGGAGGGGCCAGGACATGGGGACCCTGCCCCAGTGCCACCTCATGCCTCCAGGGACTCTGGGATGCTGACCTGGTCCCCACTAGAGGGCTCTAGGTGGCCAGGACCGTCACTGCAGGGCAGCGGGCAGGGCGGCCCTGCTGCCTGTCAGGGTTGGGGGGATCTGTCTAGGGCCAGGAACAGGGGGCAGCACTGGGTGCAGCCAGTTCCACCAGCATCCTCCAGTTGGGCTCTTTGGCCTGGGCAGGCCCAGGGCTAGGCTCCCATCTTTGAAGTAGGCATGTCCCCCTGCTCCGAGACCCACGGAGGGTCTCCATCTCCTCAGAGGTGGCCTGGCCCCAAGCCAACAGAGGCCATGGTGGAGAGCTGGCAGGGGTGCGGTGTCTGGGGGCTCCAACCTGGCCCCAGGATGAGCCGAAATAGCTTCTGGGGGTGTCAGTGCCACCCACATGGAGTGACAAGACTGGAGCCTGTCCATCCATCAGGCCTCCGGTCACCAAGTACACACTGTGACAGGGTCAGGGCAAGGCCTGTGTAGGCCTAGGGTCCTGTGAAGGGTCCGTCTGGCACTGCCTCAGGCAGGGCCACAGTGGGTGCCAGGCTGTGCCCTGACACCTCACAGCCCTGGTGCGAGGGACCACCTGGGGCCCCCTCCTGTCCCCACGTCACTGCAGGAGCCTGAACCACTGCCCACTGGAAAGCCGTCGCCACTAGAGGGCACCGCCACATCCTGCCAGGGTCCAGGGCCAGCCTGGGTAGGGGGTGGTGAGCCCCCCACAGCAGGGGCCTGGCCACCAACACCTCAGCTGCAGGGCATGACCCCAGGTCCTGGCCAGCCTGGTGGGAGAGTGCTCCCTGGTGGCTGTGACCCCAGGGCGGACCAAGCCTCCTGCCAGGGGCCCGAGATGGCCCCAGGAAGCCCGCAAGAGGGACAGCCTTGAGTGGGCAGTCCAAGCAGGGTAGTGGCAGGAACGTCCACTGCTGGTGGCTGAGCTCCCCTGACACCCCAGCCCTGAGGGAAGTGGCCCCAGAGCGTGAGACCCCAAAGGGGTCACCCCTCCGAGTGAGAAAGAAGACATGCAGCAGAGCAGGGCCAGCTGGCGAGTTTATTGCCCCGGGGAAGGCTGAAGGCACTGCCGGAGCAGGGGGCACACCTGCAGGCAGAGACATGCGTGGGCAGACATGACCTTGGGCGCCCCTCCCCACCCAAGCTTGAGCTCCCGTGGACATGGCAGAGCAGCAGGCGGTCCTTGGGAGGAGCACCCCCGGCGCCCGATGGACGCACCTATTTCCGGCAGTGGCCTCACTCCTGGGACTGGCCCGAGTGTCGGAGGAACCCCGAGCCACCAGGGCCCCCACCTCCCCACCCTTCGGCGGCTCAGGCGGCCAGGCTTGCTGGGAGCAGTGGGAGTGGGCGCAGGCCCCAGGCCGCGTCTCTGTTGGGCTGGCAGGTGCGACTGCGAGCTGTGCTCTGAGCCGGCGCCCTGGTCAGAGGGGAGGCCAGCCAGGCCAGCAGCCCGGTGGCCGCGTCCGTGTGCAGCCTCAGAACGTGCAGGTACCTGGTTGCGCGGCTCCGGGGCCGTCCGGGGGACTGGGGGGCGGCGGCAGCACCGTGCTGTTGGGGCTGTTGATGTCCGCCTCCCCGAGGAGCGTCAGCTCGGCCACCTGCTCGTCTTCCACGGTCTGGATGGCCGTGGCCCCCGCCTCACGGGGCGGCCTCCTCCAGAGGTGCGCGGGCGGCGCGGGGGGCCCTGCGGGGCTGGGGGCCGAGCCCGAGCTGCTGGCAGGGCTGCCGCTGGAGGCCGACTCCTCGGCGGGCGGGGACGCCTTCTCCGCGCCGCCCGCCGCGCCTCTCCTGTCCGCGGCCTTGGCCTTGGCGGGGCAGGGCAGGCGCAGGAACTCGGGCAGCACCAGGTCCTCCCTCCTCAGCAGCCCGCGCTGGTCCTCTGCTCGGTTGCTTTGGGCCTTGGAAATGAGCTCAAAAAACTCTGTGGAAGGACACCACGGGGCCCCCAGTCAGTGACCTCGCCGGGGGACCCCCACAACTCCAGGCCTCACCCCAGCCTGACGAGGTGCCCAGTGGTGCGCTGCGGTGCCTGGGGCAGCTGGGAGAGCAGCCCCTCGGGTTCCCAACCTTGGGCACCTCAGGTCTCGGGGTGCCCCTGGCCCTCGCCCTTTCCTCCTGGGAGCTCAGATTTCCCGGGAGAGCCGGGGTCCCAAGGGGGGGCGGCTCTAGCATACCCCCGCAGCGGCACTGGGAGGTGGGGAGCTGCCAGCGCGGAGGGGCGTGTTCTCACTGGGGGGGGAGGGACGGAGCCCTGCATTAAAACCCCGGCCACTGAGGCAGCTGGGCGTCCCAGTGCGTGCAGCGTTCCTAGGGCCTGGGGCGTCTCCCTGGAGCCCCGGACCCCCTGCCTCCCGCCGGCACCCCTCTGCACAGGCCGTGCGTGGGGGAGCAGGCCGGCTGACCGCTGGAGAGCCGGGGTGCTGAGGCCAGAGCAGCACCCCCTTGGTGGGCCCGGGGCCCAGTCCCCTGCAGGCTGTGACGGTGGTCCTAGCACCAACAGGGGAATCACTCAAGAGCGTGCAAGGTTGAGGAAATCCACATACCCTCAGCTTCGTCCAAATTAATTTTCTGATTTTTTTTTTTCCCAATCTTTGCAATAGATTCTTCTCGCTTTGAAAGCCGGGGCTCCCTAGCATTCTTTCCATTGTCTCCTTTTACTTTAATAGAATTAGACTTGCCTAGCGCTCGCTCCTGTCCCTGCATCAGAAGGAAAGCCAGAGCTCTAATTCCACTCAAGGCGCACACGCCACGAACGCACACGCCACGCACGCCCCATGCACGCACTTGACACCGCAACTGCAGACAGAGCCAGGAAGAGATGGCAGGAGCGTGTGCCCAACGCCGAGCAGACCTCAAGAAACAGGCTCTAGGGGGCACTGGATTGCCAAGGGGGACATGGGGGTGGGGGAGCTGCGCCTGAGGTGGGTGGGGGTGAGCTGCACCTGGGGGGGTGAGCTGCACCTGAGGGGGGTGAGCTGTACCTGAGGGGGGTGAGCTGTACCTGAGGGGGGTGAGCTGCACCTGAGGGGGGTGAGCTGCACCTGAGGGGGGTGAGCTGCACCTGAGGGGGGTGAGCTGCACCTGGGGGGGTGAGCTGCACCTGAGGGGGGATGAGCTGTACCTGGGAGGGGGGTGAGCTGTACCTGAGAGGGGGGTGAGCTGTACCTGAGGGGGGTGAGCTGTACCTGGGGGGGTGAGCTGTACCTGAGGGGGGTGAGCTGTACCTGAGGGGGGTGAGCTGTACCTGAGGGGGGTGAGCTGTACCTGAGAGGGGGGTGAGCTGTACCTGGGGGGGTGAGCTGTACCTGAGAGGGGGGTGAGCTGTACCTGGGGGGTGAGCTGTACCTGAGGGGGGTGAGCTGTACCTGAGGGGGGTGAGCTGAGGGGGGTGAGCTGACCTGAGGGGGATGAGCTGTACTGAGAGGGGGTGAGCTGTACCTGAGAGGGGGGTGAGCTGTACCTGAGAGGGGGTGAGCTGTACCTGGGGGGGGTGAGCTGTACCTGAGGGGGGATGAGCTGTACCTGAGAGGGGGGTGAGCTGTACCTGAGAGGGGGGTGAGCTGTACCTGAGGGGGGTGAGCTGCACCTGAGGGGGGTGAGCTGCACCTGAGGGGGGATGAGCTGTACCTGAGAGGGGGGTGAGCTGTACCTGGGGGGGGATGAGCTGCACCTGGGGGGATGAGCTGCACCTGGGGGGGTGAGCTGCACCTGAGGGGGGATGAGCTGTACCTGAGGGTGGGGGTGAGCTGCACGGGGGGGGGGGGCCTGTCGGTGTGGGCGGAGCTGCACCTGGGGGGGCTGTCGGTGTGGGCGGAGCTGCACCTGGGGGGCTGTCGGTGTGGGCGGAGCTGCACGGGGGGGGGGGGGCTGTCGGTGTGGGTGGAGCTGCACCTGGGGGGGCTGTCGGTGTGGGCGGAGCTGCACTTGGGGGGCTGTCGGTGTGGGCGGAGCTGCACCTGGGGGTGCTGTCGGTGTGGGTGGAGCTGCACCTGGGGGGGCTGTCGGTGCGGGCGGAGCTGCACCTGAGGGGGTGGAGTCGCATTTGAGTGGGCTGTGTGGGCGGGCCCTGGGGCTGTGGCAGAGGGGGATTACCGTAGCGGAGTGACTTCTGGAACTGGGGGTCGGAGCCACACTGGGTTTGCTCACAGCACCTCTGTGTTTTTCTGTGGATGTCGAACACAGGGAGGAGATTTATTTGACAGGAAGACATAGGGTAAGAGCGCCTGCTACTACCCTCCGTTGGCATAGCAACACCCCAAGGGGCGCCTGCAGGTGCAGGGGCTCCTCTGCCCCCAACCAGACCCCCTCTAGAGCAACAACGTTCAAGCCCCGCGCTGTGCGCATACATTCCTCAGAATGTCTCTTACACTCCAGTGCTGACAGCCGCCAAGCTGGGACGGGCTTGGCACCCAGTTCTTACAGACATGGGGTTCCACAATCGTGGGTTGACTGCACTATCAGGGTGCAGCTTAACCCAGAGAAGCGGGGGACAGAGCACATGGGAACCCTGCCCCTCCTCACGTGGGAGCCCCAGGCCGCATGCAGCCTGCTGCCCACCACCCCCCAGCAGCAGTGCCCATCCCAATGCTGGCTAGTGCAATGAAGTGCCAATGGGCAACCACGCCCTCAACGGGCACTGCTGCCCCAGGTCGGCATTCTGCCCACGGCTACCTGCATCTCTGGGCACCTGCACACCTGCCATGGGCCGGCACCCTTGGAATCTGGAGGGAGGGGCTGAGCATACCACCCATGCCGGTCGCTGCCTGGCATGGCTGCACCCCAGCTCACCCTCCTGCCTGGCCACCCGACGTGGGCAGGCACTTGCTGTGGTGAAGTCCCTCCTCCCTGAGGGTCCTGGGCCGTTGCCGGGGGCGGCTGTTCAGATCTGTCCAGAGTGGCTCCAGGCAGGCTGGCCTCATCTAGGCTCACCATGCTGGTCGCCTCGTGGCAATGCCCAGAAGGGCTGTGTTCAGGAGGACCTGCCAGCCACAGGGGCCACCTGGCTTATCGCTGCCACCTGCCTTCCTGGTGACACACCAGGGCGAGTCCTGAGGCAGGTGGTCTCAGTGCTGCGCAGTGAGCACATGCCTCACCTCACCTGCCACGCTCTGCCACACACCCCGTGCCTGGGATCTCACCACGCCCACGCACCCCGTGCCCGGGACCCCCCACGCCCACGCACCCCGTGCCCGGGCCTGGGACCTCCCACGCCCACACACCCCGGTCCTGGGACCCCCCACGCCCACACACCCCGTGCCCGGTCCTGGGATTCCCCATGCCCACGCACCCCGTGCCCGGGCCTGGGATTCCCCACACCCACACACCCCGTGCCCGGGCCTGGGATTCCCCATGCCCACGCACCCCATGCCCGGTCCTGGGATTCCCCACGCCCACACACCCCGGTCCTGGGATCCCCCATGCCCACACACCCCGTGCCCAGGCCTTGGATTCCCCATGCCCACACACCCCGTGCCCGGGCCTGGGATCCCCCACGCCCACACACCCCGTGCCCGGGATCCCACCACGCCCACGCACCCCGTGCCTGGGACCCCCCATGCCCACGCACCCCGTGCCCGGGCCTGGGACCCCCCACGCCCACGCACCCCGTGCCCGGGCCTGGGACCCCCCACGCCCACGCACCCCGTGCCCGGGACCTCCCACACCCACACACCCCGGTCCTGGGACCCCCCACGCCCACACACCCCGTGCCCAGGCCTGGGATCCCCCATGCCCACACACCCTGTGCCCGGGCCTGGGATCCCCCATGCCCACACACCCTGTGCCCGGGCCTGGGATCCCCCATGCCCACGCACGCTGTGCCCGGTCCTGGGATCCCCCACGCCCACACACCCCGTGCCCGGTCCTGGGATCCCCCACGCCCACGCACCCCGTGCCTGGGATCCCCCACGCCCACACACCCTGTGCCTGGGATCCCCCATGCCCACGCACCCCGTGCCCGGTCCTGGGATCCCCCACACCCACACACCCCGTGCCCGGTCCTGGGATCCCCCACGCCCAGCGCCATGTCCTTTCTCTTCTCACGAGGCGACTCCCTCATGAGCTCACTGCCCAGGGCAGACGCGTGCCCTGCTCGGGAGATGCAGCCCTCCATGAGGCCTGGGGTCCCAGTCCCCTTCAGCAGGGTGTAGCCACAGCTTCCAAGGAGGGCTCCTTCTGGCACTTTGTGTGGGTGTGCACAGCGGAAGGCAGCACCTGCGTCCCCCCGTGAAGGGCCTAGCTCCACTGTGGGTAGGGCTGCAGGTCCCCAGCCCCCTCACCTCTGCCTCTTGGGGGGCCTCTCTCCTCCAGGATGACCCGCTGACCGTCTAGACTCGAGATGGGGGCACCGAGGTCGAGGGGTTCCTTCTCTCCACTCTGGAGGAGACAGTGTGTCAGTCATCCTGCAGAGAACTTTCTGGAAGAGTCAGCCAGCCACAGGCTCAGGGGCCTACCCAGGCTCCGCAATGAAGGGGCCACCTACAGGAGTGCCGGTGCCTCCCAGTCACCCTGCAGGACAGGGCCTGAGCTCTGCACAGGCAGTGCCCCTGTGATCACATGGGGTCCTGCAACAAGGCCACCAGTCCAGGGAGGGGTCCGGCCCTTGCACCCACCTCCCCCACCAGCAAGGCACAGGGCTTCTCCACAGCGGCAGTGCTGGGCCCCACCTGGCAGACAGCCCCTCTGCACAGAAGGAAAACTGAGGCAGGAGGGGCTGAGGCAGAACAGTGGGGCGTGCTGGTGCACCCCAAAGCCTCGGAGCTGTGTCTATGGACTCGAGAGCCCCCCTTGGTTACCTCTTAGCTGCAACCCCAAGAACAGTTTGCTAGCTGCCGCAGGCCAGCCTCCACAGTACGTCGGGATCTGTGAAGGCCCTGGGGGCGGTGTGGCCCCATAGCGTCCACCAGCCTCCCAAGGGCCTTCTGGGTCCTCCTCCATCCCCCTGGCACTGGGCAGGGTGCAGTGGCCATGAGCGGCCTGTCACAGGCCTCCCGGGCCAGGAGAGGGGCATCCGGCAACTGCCCACGGAGGACACCCACCAGCCGCACGAGCAGACTGCCCAGGTCCAGGCCGTACTTGGCCACCACGGGCCGCAGCACCTCCGTGACAGGCTTCGTGGGCCTGGCCTTCAGTCCCACAGACCGGTTAATGGGCACGAGATCTAGCCTGGGGACACGGAGACAGGCGTGAGCGCCCTCTGCCTGTAGGGCACTCCAGAAGCAGGGCAAACCCACCAGGTCCTACGGGGCCACAGCTCTCACCGGAACAAGGTACGCTTCTCCAGGCGCAGGTCACGTGATTCCAAAACACTGCTGTCCTGGTGCAGCACCAATGGCTTCAGACGAGGGAGGGAGAGAGAGAGGGAGAGGAGAGAAGAGAGAGGAGAGAGAGAGGAAGAGAGAGACAGAGAGACAGAGAGGGAGAGAGGGAGAGAGGGAGAGAGACAGGGAGAGAGAGAGGGAGAGAGAGGGAGAGAGAGGGAGAGAGAGAGAGATAGGAAGAGAGGGAGAGAGAGAGAGGGAGAGAGAGACAGGGAGACAGAGAGGGAGAGAGGGAGAGAGACAGGGAGAGAGAGAGGGTTAATGGGCACGAGAGAGAGGGAGAGAGAGAGAGAGGGAGAGAGAGAAGAGAGGGGAGAGAGAGGGAGAGAGAGGGGGGGAAGGGCGCGAGAGGAAGAGGCAGAGGGGTAGCTGGAATCCCAGTGGGAGCCACAGCTGCCCTGCTGCCCCTCCCTAAACCCATCGCTGGGCACCAAGGGGTGGGGACAGGGTGGTACCTTGTCACCGCCCACCAGGAAGAGATCCACGGCCGCCCCATTGATGCCATGTTGCTCACAGAGACCGGCTAGGACCTCCTTGATGGAGAAGCCAGAGCGGACGGCCAGCATGGAGGATGAGCCGTCCGGGAGCTGGACACAGCAGTGCTTGGCAGCTTTGTCCCTCTCGGGGGCCAGGGTCCTAGAGGCTTCCGGCTGGGCACAGGGAAACAGGGCAGACGCTGGGGTTACAGGCAGCTGGCCCTGGCAGCTCACACGTGCGAGGCCTAGGTGCCACACACGGTACCCGAGAGGCTAGCGTGCCAGGGTCCCAGCCCCGTCCCAGGGTCAGTCCAAGCTCAGCAGCACTTCCTGTGTGAGCACGCCAGGGGAGGGTGACCCTGGGCTGTCAGGTGCCCTCCACAGACAGGACAGTCGCGGGCAGGGCAGGGAGACAATGCCAGCTCCACTCCGGGACTGCAGCAGGTGAGGGTCAAGACGAAACCCAGGGGCCCACCAAGCCTGGCTGCGGCCCAGGGGGTCCAGCAGGACAGGGCGGCAGCGACTCACCAGGTCCAGGCTGCCTGCGGACGAGACGGAGCCCTGGGACTCACGGCGGTGCAGGCCTCCGTTGGCGTGTGGGGCGTCTGGAGGGCACACGGTGCTCAGCCCCACAGGGGTGGCATACAGTCCCATGAGCCCCTGGAGACCCTCAGCTCCGCCCAGCTCCCCTGCAGCTGCCCAGGCCCCCACCTGACTTACGATGCCTGCAGAGACGGGCTGCGGGGCAGGGGATGCACAGACCACGAGGGAACATGCACACCCCAGGCGGGACACACACACCTTCACACACACAGCCACGAGGAGACACGGAGACACGCACATGCCCACACGCACAGGCCCACGCACCGATGGGCCGCGTGCTGGGATCTCTCTTCTTCCGGGACCGGGTGGCACTGCGATCCTTTGACCAGGAGAAGAACACGGCCCGGCGCCTCCGCTCGCTGTCCTCGGCCCCCAGCTCCTCGTTCAGGGACCTCCCCGACTTGGACTTCCCGCTCAGCTGCCACAGAACGGAACGCTGGCTCACCGCAGGCCAGGGCGTCCCGGTGGCACGCCCAGCGCCCGGGAACAGCCCCCCAGGGCTCAGGGATGGCCAGGGGCCAGGCTGCACCTTCTTCGGCGTGGACACGTTGGAGTGGTCGGAGCCGACACTGTGCTTGGAGACGGGGCTGCCGGGGACCTGCTGCGCGTCTGGGAGCCCACGGCCCTCCACCTCCGCCAGGACGCACTCCTGGTACAGCTGTGACTTCAGGAAGCGTGTGTAGCTGTCGAACTTCATCAGGTTGAAAATCTGCAGGAAGCGCAGAGTCACCGGCTCGGCCACGCGCACCCCGGCGGCGGCCCTACTCTGCACTGGGGCTGCTGCTGGCTCACTTCACACACCAGCTGCTCAGGCAGTGTTGGACAGCCAGGGGACTCACCTGCAACAAAGGCCAGCGGGCTGGGCTGTCCACAGCTGCATGCCCAAGGCGTGTTCTGTGTCCCCAAATTCACACACACACACACACACACACACACACGGGCTTCCAGAACGCTCATGCAAGTCAGAATGAAAGACACCACACGTCCACCCTCCTGTTGGTGGGTGTGGGTGGGGGGCTGGGTTGGGGCAACAAGTGTGGCGAGCACAGGGCCAGCCTTGGCTGGGGGCCCCTCTCTGAGCTCCCTGGGGTCCCCAGGACATGGGAGCGTCACCTGCAGCTGCTGTTCCTTGAACATGTCCGGGTGCGGGGCGCTCAGGATATCTGCTGCCAGCTGGGCCTGGCTGTCAATGTTGACGGGGGTGGCCGCCTTGCTGCCCAGGAAGCGGCTGAAAATCTCCTGGGCCCTAGAGGAGAGCTGAGGGCAACAGTGTCTGAGCAGACGAGAGCAAGGGCACAGCTTCCCCCCAAACCCTGCTCCCTGGCCACGGCTCCCCCAGAGTGGAGCCCCCGCGGGGCTGAGGGCACCCTCCCCCGGGGCCGACCACATCACGTGACTAAACCACCCAAGGACAAGGCAGTAAGACCTTCCTAGGCTTGAGCCGGCTGCTCCACAAACATCAGAGCAGCGGCTGGGCTCCAGCGAGCCCCATGCGGGCTCCGGGGGCAGCAGCCAGCAGATGCACCCAGAGGAAGTGTTGCCCCGCCACTGCCCTCACCGCCCCGCCCACCGGGCTCACGGCCCCGCCCACCGGGCTCACGGCCCCGCCCACGGGCTCCTCCCCAGGAGCCTTCCTCTCGCTGAGCAGCACCTACGCTGTGCGACATTCTGCCTGCGCTGACAGCCTTTGCACAGACTAAATACCGCGTCTATTTAAACCCTCGGTCCGGGAGGTGGCTTCTCCAGGACCCATGTCTGCGGGTGCCCTGGCACTGGGGCTCACCTCCTGCTGGTCATGCGCGGGCACATGGCTGAAGCCCTCGCAGGCCTGCCAGAACAGGATGTTCTCCTCGCTGAACTCCTTCCTTAGAAAGTCCTGGGAAAAGCACCCGACCCGGGAAGAGGTGAGGGCCAGAGCAGGCCTCCTCTGGGACAGTCCAGCACCCCAGGGCCCTCAGCCCGGCTCAGCACCCCAGGGACCCCCAGCCCGGCTCAGCACCCCAGGGCCCTCAGCCTGGCTCAGCACACCAGGGACCCCCAGCCCGGCTCAGCACCCCAGGGCCCTCAGCCCGGCTCAGCACCCCAGGGACCCCCAGCCCGGCTCAGCACCCCAGGGCCCTCAGCCTGGCTCAGCACACCAGGGGCCCCCAGCCCGGCCCACACCCTCTGCACTAGTCAGAACCTGGCTGGCCTCACGGCCCCTGTCCACTCACCGAGAAGTAGCGGACACCGAGGGGGTCCTGCAGCAGACGCTCGAAGGACACGGCCCAGCTGGCAACCCTGCGCTCCCGCAGCCGCCGGCAGCTCTGCACGCTGGGCAGGCTGCCATTGCTGGGCAGGCTCGTGTTGCTGACACAGTCCTTCAGGTCGGCGCTGGTCAGCTCTGCGGGCAGACAGACCCACGTGCTGCCCGGGCGTCTGCCGGGCACACATGACACCTGCGAGCTCAAGCCCTGGGCCCTGGACTCACATACCACATTCTCCCGTGAACACACCCGTACACGCAGGATGGCCACCTGCCTTCAAGAACACTTGGCCTTCAATGAGAACTGACACAGCCCAGCTGCCCACCGGACACTGGTCCCAAAGGTCCAGGGCTGGGCAGGGCTCCAGGCTGACACCCCGGTCTCTCTGCAGACACGGGGAGCAGGGCCCAAGGCCTGGGAGCCCAGGGAGCCTCTGGCACAGCCTCAAGCTCAGCTGGGCTAACAATGGCCTGTCCACAGCCCTACAGGCCCAGAGACAGACGGCCCGCATCAAGAACACGAACGGCCACGCTAAGGGGAACAACGAGATGGGCTGGAGCAGTCCAGGGCTCCCTGCACCTGCAGAGTGGAGCCGGCCTCAGCAGCAGGGCACGGCGAGAGGCAGGGCGCTTGGCCCCCCAGACACCTGGCCAGCACAGGCCTCTGGGCCTGCAGACTGGCACAAGTGCCCACACACGAGTGCCTGCTCATCCACACACATGGCCCCTGTACATACATGGTGATTCACACACAATCCCGCAATCTCCCGCACACACACACACACACGCATGCCAACATGGCCCTACAAAAAAAGAGGTCGCTCACACCTCTGTGCATGCACATGGCCCATGTGCCATACTCTGTGGGCACCTGACCTGTTTGCTTGCAGCTCCACGGCAAGAACTCTAAGACATAAACATGTACACACACAGTTCCCAGCACCCTTTCCCGCGCTGGCTCAGGGGAGCCACGAGGGCAGCAGAGCCGAACATCAAGATGGACAGAGCAGGCGGCAGCAGTCCAAGACTGTGGCAGCTTCACTTCCTCCAACAGGTCACTCAGCAGGCCCCGTCCAGGGCACAGCCAGGCAGGTCACTCAGCAGGCCCCGTCCAGGGCACAGCCAGGCAGGTCACTCAGCAGGCCCCGTCCAGGGCACAGCCAGGCAGGTCACTCAGCAGGCCCCGTCCAGGGCACAGCCAGGCAGGTCACTCAGCAGGCCCCATCCAGGGCACAGCCAGGCAGGTCACTCAGAAGACCCCCATCCAGGGCACAGCCAGGCAGGGAGCCCGACAGGGAATGAGCACCCACATGGAGCCAGAAGTGGCAAGGGGCAGTTTCTGGGACATTTGGAGGCAAACTGCAAGAACCGGAGCTTTGTGGCGGCTAAGTGCACGCGAGGAACTGACCAACGGGGCAGGGCCACGTGGGGATGGCAGGGGGGCATGCTCACTGGAGCCGCACAGCCAAGTCCTCCCTGGCCTGGGCTGTGACCTCAGGCCTGAGCAGAGCCCCGCGCACACCACCAGCCCCAGGAGACTGTCCCAAGATGGGCACACTGCCCGCTCGCAGCCCCGCACCTACACAGGAGGCTGCAGCGCAGGAGCCCATGTGGCTGTAGGCCAGCAGCGGGACAGCAAAGCCGAGGACACAGCACAGTGGCCCCACACAGGCCTGCGCCAGGGGGCTTCCAGGGCTGCCCAGCCCGTGGGCACCAGGCTGGAGAAATCAGAATAGTACAGAGTCCCAGGGCGGCCGGCCCCGCACAGTTTCCTGAAGTGTGGGCGATGGTGTTACCAGCCCCCTCTGTTCCATGTCACTGCACACACGGACCCTTATCAAAGGAATGGCCTCTTTCACAAACAGGAGCCCTGGTGCTGGCACCCCACTGGGCACTTCCCCTCCATCTCCACTGGCCTCAGAAGGCAACTGGAAGCACAGTGCAGGATGGCCCACATGCCTGGGCCCCCATCACATGGAGACCAGCTGGAGGCTCCTGGCTGGCAACCATTTGGGGAACAGACCAGCCGAGTTCTCAATCTCTTCCCTTTGCGGTGTCCTTGCCATCCGTACAAGTGACTGACTCAAGTGTGACTCCCATAACTGGGCTGACCTGAGCCACGTGGGGCCCGCAAGGCAGGCACGTACCTGCGGGTAGCGCAGCGGGAAGAGAGGTGGGCTGTCCAGAGAAGGGGCAGTGAGGAGCCAGGAGACATCCAGAGGGGTGGGGAGGGCAGGGGACCGGGCAGGTGGAAGCTGGCCCTTGGCGCAGTAGCTGTTCAGCAGCCGGTGGACACAGCCCGGGGTGCGCCCCAGCTGGGTCCCATCTCCCCCACTCCACCTGGACTCAGACGCTCCAGGCCCAGGAAGGCTCTCTCCCATAAACCATCTGAATTCAGCTTCGCATGATTTGACAAATACTAACCACTTTCCCTTTTAAGATTCACTCAGTCTACTAGCGAGAACAGCTGCGTGAGAAACAGAGCTGGCCCACTGGGCTCCTCAGAGGCTGCCACAGTGGGCTGAAGCCAGGGGCTCCAACCAAGGGTGCCACAGGGGGCAGAGCATGCACCGGGGCCAGCCTGCTGCCCTCCCAGGAGCATCAGTAGGGAGACAACTGGGAGCAGACCAGTAGGGCGTGGGATGCCGGTGTCGCAAGCAGGACCCTAACCTGCTATGTACCTCATTGGCCCCACTCAGAGGCACAAACTGTAACTTGACATGCAGATGTCACAGACGGAGCCAAGGGGTCTAGCACATATGGACTTTGCCCCAACTCTCGCCTTTGGGGTGTCATGATACGGGGTCACCGGCACTCAGGACACGAGGAGACTGTCTGCCGCACTGCCCCCAAGCCTGGGTCCTGGGCTCAGCCTCCTCACCAGCACCTGTGCAGCAGCACCCGACACTCCGGGGGCACTCACCTCCTACCCAGCATGCCCCACGCACATGCTGCCAGGGGCACGCCGGCTGTGCTCGGCCAGCCAGTGGGAGCCACAGAAAGGTCCCCCGGCTTACAACAGTTTCTAAAGTCTGTCTCCACTCCCCACCCTCCACTTACAACCACAGCCATGATGATGGCGCCACTCAACGCCCGCAACATGGCCACGCGCCCCTCGCCAGGTGGCAGGACCCCAGGGCGAACGTACCTGGCGCCTGCCCCTGGTGGCCAGACAAGGGAGGGACTTTACCTCGGTGCAGCTGGTAAGAGCCACTGTGGTGCCATCTAACCAAAAACTTCCAACCATTCACCGTGAACCACCCCTCTGAGTCCATACCAGGTCAGCCGGCACGGCCAGGGCAGCCCGGGGCACGGGCCCCCCGCGGGGACATGGCTCCTGAGCTCACGAGGCCCCGGAGGGCCAGGGACTGCACGGCTCCAGGGTGACACATCCAGGCCCTCGCTGAGCTCGGGGACAAAGCCCACAGAGGCCAGCATGCATAATTCACGGCCGCCCGGGCCACAGCACTTCAATTATTTACGTCGTGGAGCTGCTGCCCGCCTTTGGACCAGGCCTGCCTTCCCACGCCCCGACCTGCACACGCCTCCCCCTGCCCGCCTGTGGACCAGGCCCACCTTCCCACGGCCCTCCCGCGCCGGCCACCTGGAGGACCCCAGAGCCACACACTCAGCCCCCCATGGGGCAAGGCCATCTTCTGGATGGGACAAGAACAAGAAGTGCTGGCAGGGAAGGAGCCCCTCCGCACAGGACGCGTGTCGCAGCTCAGGGACAGCAGCCACTTCCAAGTCGCGCACGTCCGGCTGCTGCCCCTAGGACCCCAGGACCCTGCCCCTGGCCCCCCAGGACCCTGCCCCTGACCCCCCAGGACCCTGCTCCCGGCCCCCAGGACCCTGCCCCTGACCCCCCAGGACCCTGCCCCTGGCCCCCAGGACCCTGCTCCCGGCCCCCCCCCAGAACCCTGCCCTCGGCCCCCCAGGACCCTGCCCTCGGCCCCCAGGACCCTGCCCCTGACCCCCCAGAACCCTGCCCTCGGCCCCCCAGGACCCTGCCCTCGGCCCCCAGGACCCTGACCCTGACCCCCCAGGACCCTGCTCCTGGCCCCCAGGACCCTGCTCCCGGCCCCTAGGACCCTGCCCCTGGCCCCCCAGGACCCTGCCCCTGGCCCCCAGGACCCTGCCCCTGGCCCCCAGGACCCTGCCCTCGGCCCCCCAGGACCCTGCCCTCGGCCCCCCAGGACCCTGCCCCTGACCCCCCAGGACCCTGCCCCTGGCCCCCCAGGACCCTGCCCCTGGCCCCCCAGGACCCTGCCCCTGGCCCCCCAGGACCCTGCTCCCGGCCCCCAGGACCCTGCCCCTGGCCCCCCAGGACCCTGCTCCCGGCCCCCAGGACCCTGCTCCCGGCCCCCAGGACCCTGCTCCTGACCCCCCAGGACCCTGCTCCCGGCCCCCAGGACCCTGCTCCTGGCCCCCAGGACCCTGCTCCTGACCCCCCAGGACCCTGCCCCTGGCCCCCCAGGACCCTGCTCCTGACCCCCAGGACCCTGCTCCCGGCCCCCAGGACCCTGCTCCTGACCCCCCAGGACCCTGCTCCAGCCTCAGACCGGCCCAGCTCAGGCTCTTAAGCCATTAGGAAGTGAACCAGCAGGTGGAAGATTTTTCTGCATCTCTCTCCTCTCTGTAAAAATTTCCCTTTCAAATAAAAATAAATAAGTCTTTTTAAAAATCAAACAGAAACCATCAGTTCGTAGCGAGGCCTCCGACCCCAGCGCCTGGGCGCAGCCGGGGCTCCTGCCCCCCGCCCAGCTTCAGGGCGGCAGCCGCGCTCCTTACTGCAGTCACACACAGGACACAGGCAGAGTGGCTGGATGGACCTGAAGCACCCCAGACCACACTGCGGCTGCGTGTCCTGTGTGTCTGTGGCTACTGGGGCTCAGTGCGGGATGACGCTCAGGACTGCCTGGGGGCTGCGCTCTAGTCCTCTCAGGCCTGGGGGCAGCCCCAAGTGGGGCACAGGCCCTCGGGCTTCTCCATGCCTTATTTCTCCCCAGGGGAAGAGCTGGGCTGGAGGGGGATGAGGGGGCCCTCTGGTGTGGGGACTCCTGGAACCCCTATCCCCAGCAGTGTGATGAGCAGCCCCACCTCTCCCCCACAGAAGATGGAGGCCCAAAGGGAAGCCTCCACAGGGCTTCCTCCTTGGGCCTGGCCTGGCAGAGCCAACGCCCAGCTGGCCCTGCCAGCGCAGCTCACACCCAGACTGCGGTGAGAAGTCTTCCTTGCAATGGAAATGCCAGGCAGATGGCGGACGCTGCAGGAACACACGGGGTCACTCACGTGGGCAGAGCAGCAGCCGAAAAGGGCCAGTGTGGGAGGTTCTGGGCAACATGCATGGTGGGGCGCCCAGGACCCGGGTGGGAAGCCACACCAGAGGAGTGTCTGGCCGTAGGCCCAGGGACACGGGGTGTCCTCCATTCCTCCTGCACCAGATGGAGACACCTTACGCTGGCCATGGTGTTCCCGCCCATTACAGGTTGGTCCTTCGTGCTGGGGTCCAGCCCATGCGTGACGCTGAGACCCCGCCACCACAGTCTAACCCGGCAGAGGCCTTGGAGTGGGAGGGGAACGCACAGCAGGTGCGCGTAGCATGGCGTCCACCCTGCTGACCACACTGCTGGGGCAAGACTCTCGGGTTTTACAGCTCATGGGTCTCTACAGCGTCATCCAACTTCTTCCAAATAAAGCCACACAACTCTACGGTGAAAACGCTCACGGTGAGCGCAAGGCCAGAGCAGCCCCGGCCCCCCATCTGCTGGGGACCTGTACACACGCGGCAGCTGGGGCCCCCATCTGTGTGCAGGCCATACTCTGGGCTCCCCTGGAAACTACATGGGGCCGCAGGAGTCGGGGGCACGGTCAGGACCAGGGCAGGGAGTGGGGGACAGCCCTCCCACTGCTCCTGACCCACAGGCAGGGAGTGGGGACCACCCAGAGTCGACCTGCAGATCTCACTTTCTGACCTGTGGAAGAGGGGCCAGTGACAGCAGGTCTGCAGGAGGCATGGGCTCCCTGCCCAGCTGCCTCCGAAACAGGAACTGCCCTCCACCCTGTGGGCTCCGGGACGGCAGGGGGCAGAGGCGGAAGCCCCTGGGGCGGGGAACCACCCTGTGGCCCAGCTGCTTCCTCAGTGCCAGGACTCTCACAGGAAGAAGTCGCATTCCTCTCCAGCCCACGCCCCACGGGATCGCACCTACAAGATCACACCCCTCAAGTGGCTCAAGGCAGATGGCTGCCTTCCTCCAGTGGAAACGAGTTGTCCCAGGCAGGCAGGACTCAGCTGCCACGGCCCTCTCCTGGGCCCTTTCGCGGTCCATGAGCTTCTGCACAGGCCAGGACTCCACTTGGAGCACCCTCAGATGGCCAGGCCTGCTGATCTTGGCTTCTCTGCAAAGGACCACCTCCCACAGCCCAGCCTGTACCCCGGCTGGAGCCCGGCCTGCACTCTGACTTGTACCCCGGCTGCAGCCCAGCCTGCACCCTGACCTGTATCCCGGCCAGCAGCCCAGCTTGCACCCTGACCTGTACCCCGGCTGTAACCCAGCCTGCACCCTGACCTGTAGCCTAGCGTGTACCCCGGCCTGCACCCTGACCTGTACCCCGGCTGCAGCCCAGCTTGCACCCTGACCTGTACCCCGGCTGTAGCCCAGCCTGCACCCTGACCTGTACCCTGGCCGGCAGCCCAGCTTGCACCCTGACCTGTACCCTGGCTGTAGCCCAGCCTGCACCCCAGCTGCAGCCCGGCCTGCACCCTGACCTGTATACTGGCTGCACCCTGACCTGTACCCTGGCCGGCAGCCCAGCCTGCACCCCGACCTGTACCCTGGCTGCAGCCTAGCCTGTACCCTGGCTGCAGCCCAGCTTGCACCCTGACCTGTATCCCGGCTGCAGCCCGGCCTGTACCCTGGCCGGCAGCCCAGCCTGCACCCCGGCCTGTACCCTGGCCTGTAGGAGGACATTGTGAGCCTGGAAGGTCAGCAAGCACAGGTTTGCAGTTCATTGGACAGTATTTGCATGACAACAACCTAATGGCTACCTTTGGTATAAACAGCATGTAAATGAGAACACCTGGTGGAAAACACAAAACAAAAGGAACTCCAATCAAGAGAGGGAAACAGTACGGACCCTCAGTGTATAAAGTCTGACCCCCTAATAAACTTCGGCTTTGACCACCAGTCAGGGTCCACGCGTGTTATTATCGGCTCCGTGCACCAAGTCCATTGCTGCGGGACAGCGACAAGTGGCGCCTGAACACACCTGTCCCGACCAGCAGAGCCGGTAGCATGGACACGGCGAGGGTCAGGGAATCAGACACCGACAGGAGACCAGTAGTGGTGGAAGAGGTCTCTCTGGCCTCCCTTTATTCGGCCATATATACTTTTCCCCCAAGCCTCTAGCAGAACAATCAGATGCTAAGGAGTCTGACAGACAAGGTGCCACAGCCTCCAAGCCCATTTCCTGCAGGAGCCAAGCTTAACAAATGCTAATCAACTCAGCCCACAACACCGGCCTGCCCCCTGACCTGTACCCCGGCTGCAGCCCAGCCTGCACCCTGACCTGCACATGCATGAGTTCCCCTGAGTACGCTAAGGAATGAAGGACATGGGACAGCCTGCATGGACACCGACCGGGAGCTCCTGGGGAAGTGGGATGTGTAGGGCCCCTTCCTTTTGAATCAGTCCCAGTTTCTGAGCTCACTATGACTGGTGGGTACAGAAGCTCCTTCCGGTCCCCTCCCACACCCAGGGCTGTGGGCTGGCCCTGCCCTTGGGGAGACGCCACCTGGCCCAGGTCAGCTAGCGAGGGCCGAGGATGTGGAGGCTTCTGGCCAGGAGGGAGGGTCTGAGCCCGACCCAGCACACACAGGGCCCTGTCCCTGGAAGCTTCCTGGCAAGGAGTCCCTTGACCTGGATCCCCAAGCCCTAGCCCAGCAGGACTGGCCCACATGGTCTGCATGCCACCAGCCTCGCTCCTACACTGGACTGGGGACACTGGGGGCTCCCAGATGCTGGTGGCTGGCAGAGGAACCCAGGCAGCACCTCAGGGCAGGAGTCAGGACTCCCGGGCCTAGCAACACATACCTAGGGGGCCAGAGATGTGGCCAATGACAGAGACAGGACACTGCACACAGACAGGACAAGAACACAACAGAGTGCCACTTACCGCCATCGGACACGGTTGCCGACTGAAAGAGAAGAGAGACAGACATGAGTTAATGGCGCCTCATGGCCACGCCGATCAGCGGGCGTCACTGGCCGAGTCCGGGCAGGTGGCTGAGTCAGGCCTTCCAGCTCCCTCCTCCTGCCAGCCCCGCCCAGACTCCTCGGAGGAAGTCCCATCTTTCAGGAGAACAAAGCCCAGCAAAGCCCAGCACACCTGACCCGGGGCTCAGCAGGGGCACACCTGACACAGGGCTCAGCCAAGGACGCCTCGGCAGCCCGCCCGGCCTGGCCCACAGCGAGGGGCCCAGCCCCCCGGGAATTGGGAATCCGCCCCCACCAGCCTCAGGGATCGGGAAGGCAGCTGCTGCCAGGAGGAGCAGAGGTGCTTGGCGGCACAGGGACAAGACCTGGCACGTCCTGGACGAGGCAGCCCGGCCCGGAGCAGGGAGGAGGCCAGGCATGGCAGGCTCATGTCTGCACAGGGACCCCAGGCGTCTGCTCTTCTTTTCTCCCCCTGACCCGCAGACTCTGCCCTATAACCTCACACAGGGCTGAACCCCCGAGGGAGCCGCCCTTCTCCGCGGGCCAAGGGGAACCACTTCCTGGCCACCAGAGCACTCTGGCACCGAAGGGAAGCTATCCCTCTACTGCCCACGGGGAGGCGCGCGTGTGGACAGCGCACCCAGCACGGGCCGCCCCCCAGTCTGTCCGCAGCCTAGGGTTGCCTTCAGCATGTGGTCACCGGCAAGGAGAGGCGCTCTGTGGGAAGCCGTGGGCCCCCGCATCTCCTCCCAGCACAGCCTACACTGGAGTTCCATCAAGGCCACACAGCACCAGGCAGGTTGCTGGAGGGGGCTGGGGTATCTGGCTGGGCAGGATGCCAGGGCACCTCGAACCTCCGCACTGCTGCTACCCCAGCTCCCTGCTACTACATGCCCCAGGAGGCGCAGGGATGGGCTGAGGTGCCTGGCTCAGTGGGGAGCCCAGCTGCGCGCGGGAGGGGGCCCTGAGGAGTGGACCAGCAGGGAGAGCCCTTGTCCCGCCTCTCGAATAAATCATTAAAGTGCACGTTACTGCTGACATTTGCAGAAAACATCACGGTTGTGAATTTCACAAGTGCAACGCCTTCCCAACTGCACACTCAGTGTCAGCTCGGCGTCCGGCCAGGAAGCCCAGGTGCAGGAGGACGGCCGGTGCCAAGCGCTGGGCTCAGGGACCTCACGGCATCATGTCCCCCCACAGGTGCACGCAGGGCTGCCACCCGGGCCACACCACACAGCAGAACCCCCACAGGTGCACGCAGGGCTGCCACCCGGGCCACACCACACAGCAGAACCCCCACAGGTGCACGCAGGGCTGCCACCCGGGCCACACCACACAGCAGAACCCCCACAGGTGCACGCAGGGCTGCCACCCGGGCCACATCACACAGCAGAACCCCCACAGGTGCACGCAGGGCTGCCACCTGGGCCACACCACACAGCAGAAGGGAGACTCTCGGGGCAGAGCAGCCAGCGGAGCCCAGGCCTTCCGCACAGACGTCAGCACAGACAGGCCGTGCTGAGCCCCAAGGTGGGGCATCGCGTGGCCGCAGGCTAAAGCACTGATCGCAAGGGAAAAGGGGAGGTAGTGCCAGGGCTGCAACTGCCCTGCAGGGCGCTGGCCGCGAAGACGACTCAGCGAGACACAGAGGAGGCGGGGGCGAGCGGCGTGGGCAGCACAAGGACCAGGCGGGGGACGGCAAGACACAACCTCAGCCTCTGGCCAGACGAGCGGCCCAGCCCAGCACAGCCACGGACACCGTTCCGGCTGCTGGGTTAGTCCCTGGGCCATGCCGGCCGGGCTGCCCACGCGCGTGACAAGGGCCGAGCCCTGAGCCTCGTGCAGCTGGACCCACACTGGGCCCGGGACACGGCAGGCAGGCATGCGACACGGTAGCTTCCCACTGTGCCAGGTCCCGCCTGCACCTGGTGGGTGAGGCCGAGGGCAGCTCCGTTTGACCTGGGAGTGGCCGCTGGCCTGAGCCAGAAGAGCAACAGCAAGTGGCTTCCACGGCCTCGAGAGCCACATCCCTCCTGCTTCGAGGCCTGTGACGTGTGCTGAGATGAGGCCCCTCCCTGAGAGACCCCACAACCCACAGCGAGCAGGAGGGGGCAAGCGGAGGCCAGACGCAGCTCCAGCAACACGCGGTGCTCAGGGCAGATGAACGCCTGTCGTCCTCTCAGGCCTGGGGTGGGGGTAGCCATGATGGCTGGCACGTGGCACAGACGGCGTCTGCACCCACTGCAGGCCACACTGCAAGGCTGGGTGGGCACTGGGCCCCGGCACTTCAGGAGACATATGACGTGCCAGGCTGTCCATTCTCACTGCCCGCAGGGACAGCTCCTCGGGGTCATGCCATGAGCACTCGGTCGGATGCCTCATTCTCATCTACCACTGCCCCTCTGGGCATGTGCCATGCCACACGCACAGTGCGCCTGGGAAGCTGGGGTCCGAGCCAGCATCCTGGCCGCCGGCTCCCATGGCCCTGTCCCCTGCTGGCCCCTGCACTGGGGCAGGCTGCCTGAAGCCACACCCTCCCAGGTCCTTGTTCTGAATTAAGGTCCTGGAGGTGGTTTCTCGCACGGTGGGAGGTGATAAGCCTGTAAGTAGCAGGAGAAAAGGGGAAATGGTTGGAGTAGATCATCTCCCACGTCTGCCACCTGGAGGAAACAGCCACCGAGTTAACCAAAGGCTTACCCACTGTCCAAAACTATTACATGCTTTGAATACAAAGAACGGAAATCCGAATAACCAAAATGATGAAACCTGAAGAATGTCACAATCCAATTTACATCTGATGCATATTTGTCTTGTGTATTATTGTTTATTGATTTAGCACAGGGAGGGCGGGGCTTCCATCACTCGCTCAGGCCGGCCAGGACGCGCTGTAGACGGGGTGGCAAGGGGAGGCAGTGGTCCCAGCAGAAGGGAGGGACATGGGAACCCAGCGCTGGGCCCCGGGCCTCGGGAGGGCCACAGCAGACTGGACCTGTGTGGCCAGCAGCCGTAGGGAAGGTGTGGGAGGGGCAGTCTTGCGTGCAGCAGGTCAGCTAACCGCTGGTTCAAGTCCAGCTGCTGTGTTTCCGATCCTGCAGGGAGTGGGTGATGGTGCCCAGCCCCTGGCACCCTCCCGGAGACCTGGGTGGAGGCCTGGCCCAGCCCTAGATGTCATGGGCACCTGGGGGTTAACTGGCCAACAGGAAACATGTCTCTCTGTGCCACCTGGTCCCTCTAATAAATATTGAACAGAGAGGAAGAGAGCGAGCCAGCGGGCAAGTGGGAGGGGTGGGGAGGCCAGGGTTAGGGTGGACAGAGTGTGGGGCCAGGTTGGCCCTAAGCCCCAGGGACACAGAGCCTGCACACAGGGCAGGGTGTTCCTGGCCGGGTGCCATGTCAGGACCCCGGGTGTCTGGGCAAGAGAGCAGTGGCACGCAGCAGTGGCACGCAGCAGTGGCCAGGCCGGGCTGCCGAGAGCAGCTAGCGCATTTGGGCTACAAGCAGACATTCAGCTGTAAAAGCCCACAGGAGCCCTTTCACAACACCCACGCGTATGCAGCAAGCTCAGGCCGCCCCCAGAAGGGCAGCCGCCCGCCTCTCCTGGCCCTTGGCAGCCCGGATCCACCACCCACCCAGCCAGCTCCCACCCCAAACAACCCTGCCAGTCTCACCGGACACCCACTCCTCCCCTGCCCGGCATGCCACTGGCCATCTGGCTGCTGACCAGAGAGAGCTAAAGAGTGGGACAAGACGTCCAGGGACGCAGGGGCTGGCTCCCGCCCCCGGATGCACAGGGGTCTTTGAGGTCTTAGGCACACTGCCGTGGGAGCAGCACCCCCGCAGCTCTCCTGCCACGTGCCACCTTGTTTGTTTCTGAATGTTGAATCAGACCCCAATGTGGGACGGGCGAGCACCTGGGTGTCTGGTAAGTTCTGTCCCTGACAGCAGAGACATCCCCAAGGACGAACAGCAGGAGTTCTGCGAACGCTCCACCCAGCAAAACCCACATACCCCCGCCCCGTGCGGGGCCCAGGTGAACAGCCCGTGGCGGGCCCTGCCCCTCCATGCCGCACACAGGGAGCCAGCAGTGCTGGGGTGAGGGTGCTGGCTTGACGGACCGGCAGGGGAGCTGGGCCTGTACTCCACGCCAGGAGCCTGCTGAGGTCTGCAGGGGGCTCCCTGCGTGCGTGTGCCACTCTCGCACACCGGGCAGGGGGAAGCGGTGCAGCTGCACAGGGGATGGGGTGGGCTTTTCCCAAGGCCAGTGGGCATCTCCCTCCGCCCGAGACTGGCTGCAGCTGCTGACAGGACAGCGAGGGTGAGAGCCGGCAGGGGAAGCTGGCAGGGACAGTGCCTGAGGAAGGGCCCGCGGACAGCAGGGACAGCAGGTAGAGCTTGGAGCTCATGGTCATGACCCCGGGATGCCCCACACCCAAGGAGGCTCTGGGCGTAGGTGCCCACACATGCTCCTTGCACCAGGGTTTCTGCAGCACGGCCAGGCCAGCCTGCTCCCCCCCCGCCCCCCGCAGATCAGGAGCCGCCCACCAGGCTCCCGCACACCCACGGGGCACCAGTTTTGGAGCTGGCACAGTCTCCAAGGAAATCTGACAGTTCCCACCGGAGAGTGCAAGGCAGCTCTCAGGGCACGCTTGTTCAGAACAGTTACTCCTGCGAGGTCTGCTCAACCTGACAGGATGCCAGAGCCTCAGCGCACCCGTCCCACCCCACCCATCCCACCCCGGGGCAGCCTCAGTCCACCCACCCACTCCATCCCACCCCAGGGCAGCCTCAGCCCACGCACCCACCCCATCCCACCCCGGGGCAGCCTCAGCCCACGCACCCACCCCATCCCACCCCGGGGCAGCCTCAGCCCACCCACCCACTCCATCCCACCCCAGGGCAGCCTCAGCCCACGCACCCACCCCATCCCACCCCGGGGCAGCCTCAGCCCACGCACCCACCCCATCCCACCCCCGGGGCAGCTTCAGCCCAACCACCCCACCCCACCCCACCCCAGGGCAGCCTCAGCCCACCCATCCCACCCCGGGGCAGCCTCAGCCCACGCACCCACCCCATCCCACCCCAGGGCAGCCTCAGCCCACCCACCCACTCCATCCCACCCCAGGGCAGCCTCAGCCCACCCACCCACTCCATCCCACCCCAGGGCAGCCTCAGCCCACCCCACCCATCCCGGGGCAGCCTCAGCCCACCCACCCCACCCCACCCCAGGGCAGCCTCAACCCACGCACCCACCCCATCCCACCTACCTCACCCCGAGGCAGCCTCAGCCCACACTGCTCCCCCTGGCAGCCTCAGCCCACTCCACACTTGAGCCCACCCCCCCACCCCACTGGGCAGCTAAGTGTCTTGCTCCCCGTCCACCACAGACCCTGTGTCCACTCTCCACCTGGGGGACGTGGCGTGTCCTTCTGCACCGGTGTCCATACCACCCTCCTCTTGCCTGCCCCAAGCCAGGACTTCCTCTGCAACCGTCCTCAGGAAGCTAATTAGGTGCTTGGGTCCCGCCATCCCAGCACGGGTCAGGAGCCAGGACGCTGTGCACAGAATCTAAATGCGCTCTCCCCTTCCCACGAGCAGGCTGCCGCCGTGAGAAGAACACAAGCGCTATTCTTCGCACTGACTCAAACTTCACACACTCAGGAAGCAAGACGGCTCCGGCTGCGCACTGAACAGCGCTGCCATCACCCCGAACAGGACGCAGGCAGTGGGCTGACCCTCTGCCAGTTCAGCATTTCAGCAAAACTCAGCCCTCACACCCTGCACCTGCCAGCGCTCCCCCAAGCAGGGGGTCGCACGCTGGTGCCAGCACGCACGTGCTCCGAGCTCCATGCTGCAGACACAAGTGCCGCCAAGTGTGCACCTCTCACAGCGGACACCCCCACCCCACCATGTCCCACCGTGCCCCCCAGCTGCAGCAGCCTGGCCGGGCACCACTCACCTGCTCGCTGCCAGCCTCCTTCCTGTCGGGCAGCTCGTCTTTCGACTCCATCTCAGGGGATGGAGCTCGTGCGCCCGGCGAGGCTCCACATCTATAAGGGACCACGTGCCCCCGCAGGCTGTCCATGCGTCACACGCTGAGGACCCTGCCCAGGGAGCTGGTGCGCCCCCTTGTCGCCCGTAGCAACAGGAACCGCAGGGAGCCGTGGCTGTGATGAAGCCGCCGGCCTCTCGGGGAAGCGCATCCCCTGCCCGCTGTGGTGCCTGGGTCCCAGCCTCCTCCTGGCTGCCGGCAGTGGGCTGCCCCCACCTCCACACACGGGCCAGTTCTGTGAGGTCAGCTGGGCAGGGGTCTGCCATGGTCCCGAGCCCCTCCCCATCCATTTGGGTCACCAGCGACTCAGCCTCCAGGGTAACAGCAGTGGCCCAGAGGGTGCAAGAGGGGCAGGGGACGCCCCGGTCCCACAGTCACGGGGCCTTTGGGGGCCCTTGGCAAGCTGCTCACCCCGCTGCTTCCTCGCTGCCCGAGCCCCAGCTACGGGGGTGGCTGTGCCACAGCCAGCTGAGCAACACTTGCCTTCCAGTTCAGAGTGCTGGCTCTGTCCACTCGCCCTGCAGCTCCCTGCTCACACACCTGGGAGGGGACGGCCTGACGGTCTGAGCCCTCGAACCCACAGGAAAGCCCAGAGCATCTGGCTCCTGGCTTTGACTCGGTCTACTCTTGGCTGTCGAGGGCATTTAGGGGGTTCAGTGGATGAAAGGCTCTTTCTCTCATTACTTTGCTTGATCAAATAGACAAATAAGCTTAAAAAAAAAAAGGCCCCGGGATTCCTGCCACCATATGCAGGCAGACAGAGCCACCAGGTCTTGTGGTGGGACAGCCATGCTCACGGGGCAGAATCCCACAGCTCACACGCACGAGTTCCACACACAAACGCACCAGCGCCTGGGTGGAAGGAACCCTCCCGTGGGCGGCGGCTCACCCCCCGGACGGACGGCACCTCTCAGACCAGCAGTGTGTGCAGGAGCAGGTGGGGGACTCAGCTCACCACCACCCCTACTGGGCATGGACAGTGCCAGGGCCTCCTGAGGGAGGACGAGAGGCTGTGGGGGCAGTCCTAACAGCAGGGCAGGAGTGCCCGCGCAGCACAGCCCACCCATGTCTATCACCAAGCCTGGAGCTGTGATCATTGGAGGGGTGGCCTGCAGGGGCCTCAAATCCCTGGCATACCACTGGCAAGAACCATGTTCCCAGCCTCCCACGTGAGCTCCACCATGACTGAGTGTGCCCAGCATGACTGGGGGTGCCACACAATAGGGCCCCAGACCTTGTCTAAGGGCAAGCCAGCACACAGGCTGCCAGAGGTGAGCCACATGCCAAGCCCCAGGCCCAGGCTGGCACAAGGCTGAGCTCTGCAGCACAGCCTGCCTCGCCAGCTCTGCTCCCACATGGGTACACACATGTGTACGCACGCCCACAAACACCTGCATGTACCCGCATGCATGAAAACTCTACACAACCCCACAAGAGCGTGCACAGCCCGCGTGTACACACAGAGAAAGCAGCGACTGGTCCAGCTGGGGGTCTGTGCGTGGGGACTCCATCCTGCTGTCCTCGGTCTTGGGAGGCGGGACAGAAGCTCAGAGCCCGTGGTCCGGCCCGGGGCTGCCTGCGGGGCCTCAGGGTGTGGCACCCACGGGCTCCCGTGGGCAGCAGAGCTGCTTCCATTGTGGTCACCTCGGGCAGTGTGTGCTGCCTCGCCACTGTGACTGCACTCCTCCGTGGGGGCCACTGGGGGCTGGCGTGGCCCGTGTGCAGTCACCGGGCCCCTCCAGGATCAGCGTTTCTCTGCTCCATGGCTAGTCTCAGGAGAGACGGGCCCAGCAGCCCTGCGGCCATGCCAGGGTCATGGGAGAACGGGAGACCAGTCCAGGTGCCAGGAGTCTTTGGCGATGCCAGCCACTGCCCAGGCCCTGACCTACATGCCCCACCCCGGTGTGGGTGTCATGCCCAGAGCAGCCCCGACGCAGACAAAGCACAAGTGATCATTGCAGGACGCCACCCTCACCCCACGGGCCCCCCATCCACAGCCACCTGGGGTCAGGGTCAGACAAAGGCCACCAGGAGCATGTGGCCACCAACAGCGTTCCCCTGAGCACCTGGCCAAGCAGGCTGACCATGTCGTGGCCTTGCCCTGCAGGAGTCAGTCCGGGGTGGAAGACCCAAGGCAGCCCCTGGGGTGGAGGGAGTGTTTCAGGCTGCACGAGCGGGCTCCCTCCAGACCCTGGGCTTCCCACCCATGCCAGCCCCCCTCTCCCTAAGGGGTCACTGAGAGGGACACACGCTCAACTCAAGGTGCGCAGGTGAGGGAGGCAGCCATTCCAGGGAGCTGCACAACGTGCCGAGGGCCAGTGGCCAGGCCTGGACACTCGGGGCCGGCTTCCGAGCCGGGCAGCCCTGGCAAGAGATCGTGAGCAACAAGGGTGGCACTGCCATCTCTGCCACGGCTGGCCCTGCCCTGAGTTGCACTGCCAACAGGAGGTAAGGTGGGCAGTGGTCCAGCCTGTCTGGAAAGGAGCTCCTGGGGTGTCACCCCTGCACCCCAGCCATGGGGCAGCAGAGTGACAGCCAAGGCAAAGGCTCCGTGTGATGGCATCAGGTCTCTGCTCCCGGACCCACCAGGGGCTCTCGCCCAGGCTCCCCGCTGTCCACAGGGGACAGGCAAGCGCAGCAAGGCCACACTGTTCCCCCCTCACTCCTTGTCTCTCTAGCGAGACCCCCACACACCTGCAGTGACTGGGGGCCTCCACTTCAGGAATACACCCAAGGGCCAGGGAGAGGGGTGTGCCAGCCCCAGCCTGCTCCAGCCAGGCATGTAGCATCAGGTCAAACCCAAGGTGGCACCTCAGCTCAAGGGGACGTGCAGGGCCTGGGATGGTGGGGCACACAATAAGAACCAGGCGGGCACCTGGACAGCCATGCCAACTGGCCCTGCCACCTGGGAGCAGCATGCTGCAGCCCTGCCCTGGCCCCCAGCTCACGCACAGCATGTCCTGCAGCAGGCAGGGCGCCCGACCCAGCTCCCAGGCTCCTGCGGGCAGCTGTCCACGTCCCTGCCTCCTCGTCCCTGTCGCTTTCTGGCTACCTGGCCATGGGACGGCTCCCTCCTTGCCTGCATCTCCAGACGGGGCCTGGACTCTAGCTGCCCTGCAGGTCCCGGGCCTGCCTTTGCACGGCCCTCCGCCTGGCCCTGGGCCCCTGCTGCCACTCGCTGCCAGGCCCTGCCACACCTAGCTGAGCCGGATGCCCGCCTGCAGGTGCTGGCGTGGCCCACCAGCTCAGGCGAAGGGGACTCAGCAAGGAATTCGACTCCCTCTGGGAAGTGGCCCTCCCAACCCCAGGACGTGCCTGGCTTCTGGGCCCGTGGGGACATGCAGGCCGTGCTGCGTGCAGGCACAAGGCGCGAGGCCCTGAGCCCCAGCAGGGGGTGAGAGCGGAGGACGGGGCGGCATCCCCTGTGGGGACAGACTTACCTCCAGGTCGTCCAGCGAGCGAGTGGCGCTAAACCGCTTGGATCTCCCCAGCGGCCTGCGGGCTGAGGGGCGCTGGGACGTCTGGGCCAGGCCCACTCCGCGCCCGCACCTGGAGCCCTGGAAGCACAGGGAGATGCAGCAGTTGGCCTCTTGGGGTCGCGCACGCCGCGCACAGCGAGTGCCACACGCTGAACACACGCACCCAGGGCCTTCACGTGTGTGTCCGACAGCCACACATGTGCCCCGGGGCTTCGCCCTGACCAAATGCCACACGCACCTGGGCAGCCCTCCGTGCTGCTTCTGGAAAGTTCTCAGATCACTGCAGCTCAGCCTGCTTTCTGCTCCAGTCACTGTGCCAGCATCTGAGGACTGCGCTCCTCGGGCCAGCCGTTGGCCACGGCCCCCACCTGCCCCCATCTGCCCACAGGCACACCCCATTTTCCGCTACCACCCTCAGTCTCTCAGCTCATCTCACACTCCTTGCCAGCCCGGCCCTGGCCACCACGGAAAGCTCTCCCCGCAGCCCTGCGTCCCAGCAGTCCTGGGGAGAACACCCAGCTCAGCGGCTGCGGCCAGGAGGCCACGCAGTGGCACTGTGGGTCTGGGGTGGGCGGGGACACTGTGTCCCTCACACGCTGGACAGCCCGCGGTGCAGCTGCACCCATCCTGCCCCACGCAGTGAGGTCAGGAAGTCTAAAGGGGAAAAGGGAACCACAACTGCCAACCCACCAAGACATGGTCTGGAGCAGCCCTGCTGGGGGCAGCGCCCCCTGGTGGACACGCCGGAGAGTGGCGCCCTCAGCGCCCCCTGGTGGACACGCCGGAGAGTGGCGCCCTCAGCGCCCCCTGCTAGTCCCACCGAATTCAGACTGGCCCCACATCGAGGTCAGGCCTTCTCCAGCCTCCTCCACGCTGAGATCCACTCATCTGCCAACCCCGCGGGGCTCCCTGCCTGGCTCCTGGGTGGCCTGGCTGACACAGAGGATGTATGTCAAGCAGACCCTAAGGGCTGATGGAGAATTGCCACCCACAGTGCCACAACAACACGGTGAGTACAGGTGCCAGCCCTGGCTCCCCCATGGTGAAGCCATTGGCACTGGGACAGGCTTGGGCCAGGCCTGCTGCCTGGGGCACCCAACTCAAAATCACCATCAATCTAGGTAGCAAACCTTCCTAGGAGCTCAGGGAGAGGGACATTTACACAAAAGATGACCCTGACCCTGGCGGTCAGCCCCAGCCTGCAGGGGAGTGACCCTGACCCCAGTAGTCAGCCCCAGCCTGCAGGGGAGTGACGGTGACCCCGACAGTCAGCCCCAGCCTGCAGGGGAGTGACCCTGACCCCAGTGGTCAGCCCCAGCCTGCAGGGGAGTGACAGTGACCCCGACGGTCAGCCCCCACCTGCAGGGGAGTGACGGTGACCCCGACGGTCAGCCCCAGCCTGCAGGGGAGTGACCCTGACCCCGACGGTCAGCCCCAGCCTGCAGGGGAGTGACCCTGACCCCAGTAGTCAGCCCCAGCCTGCAGGGGAGTGATGGTGACCCCGACAGTCAGCCCCAGCCTGCAGGGGAGTGACCCTGACCCCAGTGGTCAGCCCCAGCCTGCAGGGGAGTGACAGTGACCGCGACGGTCAGCCCCCACCTGCAGGGGAGTGACCCTGACCCCGACGGTCAGCCCCAGCCTGCAGGGGAGTGACCCTGACCCCGACGGTCAGACCCAGCCTGCAGGGGAGTGACAGTGACCCCGACGGTCAGCCCCAGCCTGCAGGGGAGTGACCCTGACCCCGACGGTCAGCCCCAGCCTGCAGGGGAGTGACAGTGACCCCGACGGTCAGACCCAGCCTGCAGGGGAGTGACAGTGACCCCAGTGGTCAGCCCCAGCCTGCAGGGGAGTGACGGTGACCCCGACGGTCAGCCCCAGCCTGCAGGGGAGTGACCCTGACCCCGACGGTCAGCCCCAGCCTGCAGGGGAGTGACCCTGACCCCGACGGTCAGACCCAGCCTGCAGGGGAGTGACCCTGACCCCAGTAGTCAGCCCCAGCCTGCAGGGGAGTGACCCTGACCCCAGTGGTCAGCCCCAGCCTGCAGGGGAGTGACCCTGACCCCGACAGTGAGCCCCAGCCTGCAGGGGAGTGACCCTGACCCCAGTGGTCAGCCCCAGCCTGCAGGGGAGTGACCCTGACCCCAGTGGTCAGCCCCAGCCTGCAGGGGAGTGACGGTGACCCCGACAGTCAGCCCCAGCCTGCAGGGGAGTGACCCTGACCCCGACGGTCAGACCCAGCCTGCAGGGGAGTGACAGTGACCCTGGCGGTCAGCCCCAGCCTGCAGGGGAGTGACAGTGACCCTGGCGGTCAGCCCCAGCCTGCAGGGGAGTGACAGTGACCCCGACGGTCAGCCCCAGCCTGCAGGGGAGTGACAGTGACCCTGGCGGTCAGCCCCAGCCTGCAGGGGAGTGACAGTGACCCCGACAGTCAGCTCCAGCCTGCAGGGGAGTGACGGTGACCCCGACGGTCAGCCCCAGCCTGCAGGGGAGTGACCCTGACCCCAGTGGTCAGCCCCAGCCTGCAGGGGAGTGACCCTGACCCCAGTGGTCAGCCCCAGCCTGCAGGGGAGTGACCCTGACCCCAGTGGTTGGCCTCTAATCTCACACCCACATCCCCTCTTCTCGCCTACAAAGCCGTAACGGGGCTGGCCATGGAGTTAACCTCTTTGGGTCATGTCTGAATCCCGGCTGCTCCACACCTCCAGCTCAGCTTCCAGCCAATGCGCTGGAGGACCGTGCCAGGCTGCTGTCTTCCGTGCAGGAGGCCAACGGCATGCCTGGTTCCTGGGATCAGCTGGGTCCAGCCCTGGCTATGAAGGCATGGGGGTGGGGAGCACTGCACACATATAGTTTCTTCCTTCTACCTTTCACACGCATCCGTGCGTCTCACAAAGCACAAGCGTAACACTTCACAGAGTCAGATAAAGGCCCGAGACCCACGTACCGCGTGGGCGCCTGGCCAGCAGGAGGGACGCCACTGCCACCCAGCAAAGAGGGCTTAGTGACCCCACAGGAGCCCTGCGGATGAAGCAGCCACTTGGCCCCAGCTAATTCTCATGGAAGACTAACCCCACACATTGTTATCAATTTCTTGAAAGGCATCGCGATGGGGGTGTTCCACTGGCTGGCCACCCGCCGAGGCCTACAGGGCTGGGTTGGGCTAGGGGCTGGGAGCTCAGTCCGGCTCCCTGCGCGTGGCTGGAACCAGGCTCCCCCAGCGGCTGCCCAAACAGGGGCCTGGGAGCTGACCACAGCAGCCGTGCCCACAACGGAGATAGGGAACACAGGGCAGCATTAATGGTCTCCATGCAATTATCGCCTCACACAGAGGTATGTCAACAGGCCACTGGGGGCCACACGGGGGCCACACGGGGGCCACAGAGGCCCAGGGAGGGCCCACGATGCAGGGCAACAGTGACAGACGGCTCGGGGACACCATGTAGAGTGGGGAGGGACCAGAGCAAAAAAGGCAGGGGACAGTGTGCACCTCACATGCTGAGCACAGTCAGGTAAGGGGTAGTGTCCCCACATCTAAGGAGAGTCAGGGTAAGAGGCAGGGCCCCCCCACACCTAAGGAGAGTTGGGGTGAAGGGCAGTGTTCCCGCTGTCCTGAGGACCATGTCCTTCACTCCCAGTGGTGCCCGTGGAGTTGGGGCTGGGGGCCCTGCAGCCTGCCCGGCTGTGAGGAGGGCCCCACCCTCGGCCCCGACAGCCTCATGGGTGCAGCTCCTGCTTCCTGCTCTGGCCTGGCCGGGTGCTGGCTGAGGGGCATCAGAGGAGTTACCCAGCAGATGAGCTGGCATGGCCAGTTGTCTTTTAGTCTTTCTCCATCTCCCTGCCTTTCAAATAGAATTTAAATAGGCCCCCCTAAACCGTCTCAGTGCCCACATGGCACCCTGCGGAGGCTCTAACGGCTGTGTCTGGGCACAGAGGCACCTGTGCCGTGGGATGCTAATGCAGCTGAAATAAAGGCCACTGCACCGCAGGGACTCCATCAGCGTGCATCTGAGCGTGCCCTGTGGGTGCAGGCTGTGAGCTCTGGTCCCCCACTTGGCGTAGGCCGGCTCCGCACACAGCTAGCTGCCCTGTGCCTTACAGGGTGCAGGCCTCAGGCCCCTTGCTTTGATTGGCTCCCCGTGGTTCTTTCCATCTCCCGGGAAGCACGGGGGGACAAGGGCCGCCAGCCTCCCCCTTCGGCTCCTGCTGTCCTGAGCGCTGCTGCCACCGCCGCCCCACCCGCCTCAGTCCAGCCGCCCTCTGCTTGCACTCCTGGCCCTGCGCCCGGTGAGAGCCCCAGGGTGCTGGGTGCTCCTTGGGCCCGCTTCCCTGGCCTCACCCGGGACAGGGCGCAGGGCAGGTCAGTCTGTGCGGCCTCCAGGCCTAGAGCCATGCAGGGTCTGTTCCAAGACTTCTCTGGCTGAACTAGAACCCATGGGCTGAAGCGACTGGCCCTGGCCTGGCCGCGGACATGACTCTGCGGTCCCCACAGGGCCTTGCTATAAAGGGAAAGCACGCCATGGGCCGTGGAGGCCATGCGGGGATCAAGTCCTCCAAGCCCCTAGAGAAGAGATGGCCTGGACTCTGGCCGAGCTGGCTGGGCCCTACAGCATCTCACCCAGCGTCCTGATGTGCGTAACCAGCACAGCTTACTGGGAGACAATGCGATCACACTACATGTGTGTGTTTTGGGGACCTGCTTTGTTCACTTAACTAACAAGGGGCTGTTGGCACACATGCAGATGTGTCTGCCTCCTCACAGCCATGGCTGCGGCTGCCCACGGGCCAGCTGCCACACCCTGCCTTTCCTGCTCCCCGTGGAAGTCAGTGCCGCAACCTCCCGTGGAACAGTGCACCACCAGGTGCCGGCCTACCTCCCCGCGGGGCAGAATCCGCTGGCCCGGACAGCCGGCTGCTTCCGGGGACTGACAAGCACCCGGGATTCCAGCTTTGCTGTCACAGCTCTGAAGCCTATATCATTTTTAAAAATTATTATTTTTTTGAAAGTCAGAGTTTTAGAGAAGGAAGAGAGAGAATCTTCCATCCACTGGCTCATTCCCCGGATGGCCACAATGGCCGGCCCCGGGCCAGGTCGACGCCAGGAGCCCCGAGGGAAGGTCATAGTGCCCGTGTGTGTGCGTGTGTGTGTGTGTGTGTGTGTGTGTGTCACAGGTGGAGAGCCAGTAAGAGGTGAAGACACAGCGAGACCGCCTTCCTCCCAGCTCACTGCCCACATGCCCACAGCAGCTGCGCTGGGCCAGGCTGAGCCAGGAGCTGGGCGCTCCAGCCCGGCTCCCCCACGGGGGCAGGGCTCGGATGGCCCCGGGAGCTCGATGGTGGCTCCAGCGTCCAGGGAACACAGGTGTTCTGATAGAGCAATGCCACAGGGTCTTTCCTGTTTAGCTTCACCTGCTCGAGAGGCAGAGAGGGGAGAGAGGAAGGGACCACCCTCGTGCTGCTGACTCCCCAGACGCCCCCAGACTGCTGGGGCCAGGCCGCAGCTCTGTCCCCTGCTGCCCCCCAGGAGCACGGAGATGCCCAAGCAATGGCTTCGCCTTCTGCCCCACAACACTGCCCCGACCTTTCTCTTACTCCACCGCCAGCAAGCAACTTTATCCAATAAAGCCACATTTATGAAGAGCCTGCTGCAGCTGGCTCCTATTCAAAGGTGGCCCCTGTGGGGTAGGACTACTGGGCCGGCAGGGAGGAGGGCCAAGCGGCAGCCGGCTTCCCTCCCCTCCACATGGGGGCGCCACAGAAAAGAAAGGGAAGGCAATACAACCTATCAATTCCGCTAACAAGACACCTCCTGGCAAACAGCCAGGGCTTGGGCTGGCGGGGAGCAGCAGTCAGTGGCATGCCAGTGGGCTCCGTGTGGGGGTGAGCTCACGGCCACACTGCCTGTTGGCCTCCTCCACTGACCTCGCCCCCGCTCCCACCCTGCACACACTGCCCGGACAAGAACAGGCCTGGCTTTCTTGGGTGGTATTCCGGGAGGGAACGCCTAGGAGTCAGCCACAGGCAGGCTGCCCTCCATCCACCAGCAGCTGTGCAGGGGTCGCATGAGCAGCCGCCCCCAGAGAATGCCCTCTGCCTCGAGGAAGGCCTGGGGACCACCCGGGGTGGGGAGGGGCTGCGAACATCCAATGTAACCCTCTGAGCCAGCCCCAGGCCCCTCGCCAGCTGGCTGTGGGAGCCACAGGAACAGGGGTGCGGCCAGCGGGGATGTGCTGGCTCAGGGGGAGCAGGGGTGCAGCCAGCGGGGGTGCGGCCAGCGGGGGTGCGCTGGCTCAGGGGGAATGTGCTCCAGCCATCAGGACTCACCTTCTTGCTCTCTTTGCTCTTCCTGGCGTGGCGATGCGGACTGAACAGGCTTTGCATTCCGAAGGCCTTCCTGGACCAGTCAGCCTTCTGGGCACCGAGCGGGGGCTGCGAGCAGCTGCCCTCCACGCGGTAGCGGTCAGCAGGGATCTTGCTCATCGGAGGGGGCAGCGTGCCGCAGTTGATGCTGGACCAGCCGTCGGTGGAGTCGGTGTAAGACTCCTGGTCGCTGGCGTGGCCGCACTGCCACTCCTGGAGCACGTGCACAGGGAGCCATCGCTGGCCACCACCCCGCCTGGTGGGGGGCGCCGAGCTCCGTGGGGCAACGGGAGGCCCCTCCCCAGGGCAGGCTGGCCCCAGGTGCTTGCCCAAGTCCCGGAACCTGTCTGCAGGGGGCACAGCGTCGAAGGGGGAGCCCCCCTGGGTGTCATGGCCAAAGGCACCATTCCAGGGCGCGCCCCAGGACTGCGAGGGCCGCCCGCTCGTGGCCTCCCAGGCAGCACAGCCGCCGCCCGGGCCGTGCCGGCTTGGGCCCCCCCCCAGGTCCACTACCAGCACGCGGTTGCTTTTCTCCTCCTGGGTGAAGTTGCCGATGCCACTGTCACTGTTGCTGCTGGTGCTGTGGTGGTGCTGGGCATCGGGGTCCCCATCCAGGAAGGCACGGGCCCGCACGCCCTCGATCAGCTCGCCCATGTCGCGGTACAGCACGGAGACAAACTGCAGCACAGGCAGCGAGGACGCGGGGAACTCGAGGCAGCCACTCGTATCGGGGTCGGCCGTGCAGGCAAAGCCGAAGCGCCGCGCGACGCCCTGGTGCACCCGGTGTGGGAACAGGTCGGGGTCCACCATGAACACGTGGCAGGACGTGCGCAGGGCGCCCTCCTCCTCGGGGGCCAGGCCTGCACCCTCGCCCGCCTGCATGGTCACCAGCCCAAAGAAGCGCCGGTCGTCGGGGCATACGGCACTGAAGGCCAGCTTCTCGGCCGGGTACTCGGCCACGACACCGGCTCTGTCGGTGCAGAGCTGCACACAGTCGTGCAGGATCTTCATGGACACCAGCGAGTGGATCTTTTGCTCGGCCCGCAGGCGGCGCATGCAGCCACGGATGGCCTGCAGGCTGTCACCCTCAAGGTTGGAGCTGGTGGACGGCAGCTCGATGGAGCCCAGGTAGCCCACAACCATGACGACATTCAGGATGCTGGCGTCCAACCCCGCGTCATCGAGGCCGTCCAGTCCGACACCGAACACCGCGTCGTCCAGCGCGGCCCTGGGCACCTCGTCCTGGCCGAGCGCGGGGGTGCAGGGACCCTCGGGCGGGGCCCTCGGCCTCGGTGGCACGGGGCTATCAAACATCATGCTGAAGATGCCGCCTGACTGCACTTCCTCCACCACCCGCTCAGCCCGGTTGATGCCCAGGGCCTTGGAGTCCAGCCGGGGCTTCCACCAGCCGCGGCCCTCACAGAGGCCAGCCTCCTCATCGCTAGAGCCGGAGTCGGCGCAGCCGGCACCCCTACCAACCACCATGCGCAGGACCCCGGAGCACCTGCCGATGAGCTGCACCACATCCTCGTGTGAGGCTTTCCTCACACTGGTCTCATTGACGGCCAGGATCTGGTCACCGGGCCGCAGGCCCACGCAGTCTGCAGGGCTGCCCCGGACCACGCAGCTCAGTACACAGGGGGCCTGGCCAGCAAGGGTGAAGCCGTAGCCGGCCCGTCCGCGGGCCACTTCCACACTGCGCACCCGAGGTGCCACAGCGCCTGCCAGCGGCCGCTTCCCAGCCTCCCCTGCCCTAGACATGGTGACGCACGACCAGTTCCCTGAGCATGTTTCCCTGGTGCAGGGAAACCAACAGCAGCAGGGGCGCCAATGCAGCCCCCACTGTCTTCTGACAGAGCCACCTAAGGAAGAAAAAGAAAGAGCTCATTACTGGAGACCCAGCGCGTCCGACACCACGGTAGCCCAGAACCCCGCACAGGGCACTCTTCCTGCAGGACCCCAGCACGGCCTGGAGCCTGGCTGCATTCTCTGTGTGCATGCAGTGTGCACAGCTGACCAGCCACACATGCACACGCATGTACATACATGTACATAGAACATACACGTGAGTGCACTGTGTGTCTAACATGTGTGTACACGTGTGTGCATGCAGACTCACAGCGCACATGTACACACAGATACACACACTTGCCTGGTGTGCAGAGCTGTGAACACTGGGTCCCTGAGATCTTCCTGTCCAGCCCTCATCTTCCCCAAGCCATCTTCCCTGAGCAGCGGGCCCAGGCCAGACCTGCTCACACGTGGCCTCCGTGACCACACGTGGCCTCCGTGACCACGGCACTGTGTGGGGAGTACCACTGTTGCTTAGCTGAGGGCAGGCGACCACCATGCTCTTCCCACCGCAGCCTGACCTCCTGACGGCGAGTCCCACTGACGGCATACAGCCTGCTGGAGGCCCTGGGACACTCGCAGAGACCCCAGGGACCCCGGGCTGGACTTGCAAGGCCCTGTACCAGGCGGCGCAGATGGCAAGAGGCCGAGCAGAGGCCTGGCCTGCAGCTGGCATGCAATAAATATTTGAGCAGAAGGCAGGCCTGAACTCACGAGCATGGATCGGATGAACGGCTCATGCAGAATTTAAACATGAGCTCATGGACGCATGGGCCCCAATGGCCACTCTGCCTTTACTTTCTGCCACAAAGTGCAACAAGGATCTGAAAGACACCGAGGGAGATTGAGCAGTGAGCAGGACCATGGGCCGTGTTCCTTTGCGGCCCGCCCGCCCCTGGGCACCTGGAGACCCCTGGGTGAACTTCCTTTTGCTCTTAAAGCTAGCACACAGGGACCCTGGCGTGTCCTGAGGCCACGAGGCAGGCGGGCGCTGTGCACAGTGGGCTAAGCTACTCCCACATGCCAGGGCGGCCGAAGCGTCCAGCTCAGGCCCCAGTGACGCAGCTGCAGGCCCGCTGTCTGTGTGCCCTTCTGGTAACGACACAGAACAGTCCAGAACGTGAGCTTTCTCTAAATAACTTCTGAAACTGTTAGCAGAATTTCTTACTTTAGGGGATAAAGTTTCCAGTAATAGAATCAAAAACAGATTAAAGAAAAATCGCCTGCGTGAACACGCGCATATGAGCACACGCAGACACAGACACATATACAAACATGTGCGTACACATGTGAGCACACACGTGCAGATACACACATGAGCACACAAGCACACATGTGCACACACACGCTCAGCTGCTGAGCAGAAAGCTTCGCTCACCGAGTCCCCAGGTGCCTCCCGTGGTGACAGCACCGTTCACTCACCGCATGACCTGCAGGCACAATCGCTTAGACACTTGCCAATTCATAAGTCCGTATGCTGCTCAGCGCCAGGCCCGGCCTCGTGGCTGGGGCTGCCCTCCACTGAAGGCCAGGGAGCAAGACGAGGCTCTCGCCATGCAGCTCAGTCGGTGCTCCGGTCCCACGCCCAGATCCCCAGCTCTCAAGCGCCATGTGTGCTAGGCCCCATGAGAGGAGGACACTCAGGGTGGAGGCCAGGAGACAGAGCCGGGAACCCCAGGGCAGAGGCGCTGGCTGTGCTGGGCTGGCCACCAGCCATGGGCACCACTGCACCATCCCCGGGAAGGCACACAGGGAGACACCCTTCCCAGGCTGGGGACAGGACAGGAGACCCTCCCAGTGTGCACACAGCAGCCAAGTTCAGGGTCAGTGAGGAAGTGGGTGTGGTACTACCCTCCTCTCCCCTGCCCCCTCAGCAGCCGAGGGTGCGGCTTCTCTCCCAAACAATGAATGCTGCTCCCGGAAAGAACCGGCTTCCGGCTCCCACAGACCCTGACCCTGAGCCCTGCACGACAGCTGCATGGGCCTCACCCACACTGCCCGACGCTCCAGGGACTCCCGGGCTGTGTGGGCACTGAAGGAGCAAACCAGTGGGTTGGCACCATCCTCTTTCAAAATGAAATGTCAGCATTCCTTCAAGTTACCAGTTCATGGAACATACCAAAAATTGTAGTTCATAGCTTCAGCCTGCAATTTAATCTCTCCCTAAGCTACATCAATACAGTGGGGCGGGCAGGGACAGGTGGGGACAGACTGGGACAGGAAGAGGACAGACAGGAGACAGGCCCAGGAAGGCAGGGGACAGGTGGTGGACAGGCCAGGGACGGGCCAGGGACAGGTGGTGGACAGGCCAGGGACAGGCAGGGGACAGGCGAGGGACAGGCGAGGGACAGGTGGGGGACAGGTGGAGAACAGGCCAGAGACAGGCAGGGGACAGGCAGGAGACAGGCCAGGGACAGGCAGGAGACAGGCGGGGGACAGGTGGGGGACAGGCCAGAGGCAGGCAGGGGACAGCTGCGGTCATTCAGCAGAGGGGGGGGCGCCGGTTGCCATAGGAACCCACAGTTGCACCCCATGCCTGGGCCCTGCACCACCTGTCAGTCACAACACCAGGTCTGCAGGGATATCGTACAATCACCTCAACTCCCAGCTGTGCAGGGAACAGGCCTGGGCCAGTTGGGACAACCCACTCACCCTACGACACGCACGCCTAGCCCAGTCATGCTGTCCTCCCCCACAAGGCACTGACCAGCCATGCCTCAGGCGGTGGTGACGCCCACTCCTCCCCAGACTGTCGGGCGTGGAAGCGGCTGAGTGGTGAACACACTGGATCCCATGGCCCCGCTTGAGCTGGCGCCTCTGGCCTCCTGCTGGCACACCAGGCCTTGGCAGCCCCATGAAAGCCCTAGACAACTTTCTGCCTGCCAGCCTGGCAGACCCAACCCCAGCTCCGTGGCCATCTGGGGAACCACCAGCGCACGGAGCCTCAGGCCCTCTGTCCCCTGCCATGGATGGATGAATAAAGAGGGAGCCACAGTGACTAAAAAACAAGAACGAAGCTATAGAAGTAACAGCAAATGGGCAAAACACCCAGTCACGTGGGCGGCAACAAGTGCGGCTGTGGGATTGTAGGGGGCGGCTGGGGCAGGGCAACGGGCAGCAGGCCCCGTGGTGCCACTGGGCAAGCTGCTGTCCCAGCTGCCTGCATCTGGTCCCACCTCTACTCTGACCCAGCTAACTGCCAACAAGCCAGGACTCAAGTCCTTGGGTCACTGCCACTCATGCTGGGGACCCCGATGGCATTCTGGGCTCCTGGCTGCTGTGGGCATCTGGCAAGGGCAAATGGAAGATTCTCTGCCTCTCCCTGTCTCCCTTCCCCCTTCTCTGTCTCTCTTTCCCTGTAGGAGCCTCCACGTGGCCTGGATGGCAGCAGGGTGGCTCAGGGGCTTGGGTCTCTGCCACCCTGTGGGAGACCTGGAAGGAACTCCCAGCTCCCAGCCAGGACCAGGCCCCGTCCAGCCGCTGAAGGCATTCAGAGCCAGCCGGCAGGTAGGAGAGTCCCCCTGCTTACCTAGACGAAACCAGGGCCATTCTGATGGAAAGCCCATCCCACACCAAATGAGCAGCTGCCCTGAAGACCTCAGGGCCAGCCAGGTCCTCCCAAGCGCCCAGGACAACCCCCCTGCACACAGAGGCCACCGAGGAGAGGCCAGGCCGTCGCCAAGGCACCTGTCACGTGCCAGCACTGCTGAGGGGGATATGGCAGTACCCAGCCATCAGCCACAGGGCCCACCCACACAGATGGGTCCCCACGGGACAGGCAAGTGGCTTCATGCGCTGCACAGTCCCTGCAGAGCGACTCCACCTGCCCCTGCAAACACCCTCTCCCCAAGGTCTGGCAATGCCACAGCTCAGCCCAGCCCACAGGAACATACCGGAGCCCTGCACAACCCTCCCCCGACTGGCCAGATCCACCCTCCAAGACACAGCGGAGGATGAGTGGGCAGCTTCACCAGATGGCCACCGCTCCGGTGGTCTCTGTCCATCCCCACAGGGACACAGGCCCTGGGGACAGGGCCACCTTACTGCCTCCCTCTGCCAGCTGCCTGGCCCCCACTGCATGTGCTTGGTGGCCACAAGGCCACCCAGAGTCTCCTGTGGGTCTGCAGTGGCCCTGAAGCCCATGAGCCCTGGCAGGCCGGCCTCTGCAGGTGGCCTGATATGCGCTCGCCCCCACATCACTCCGCCCTTCCCCACCACGCCCTGGCAGGCTCCCCGACTCCCTCTGACTACAGCCCCTGGCACCCGGCCCGGGGCCCCCTCCTCACTCCCCAGTCCACACCCACCACTCACTGATTCTCACCCTCACCTGCGCAGCCCGCAGAGACAGGCCACAGCCAGGCACAGATCCTGATGGCAGCCACCACACAAAGGGTCCCTACCCCAGGGAGAGGACACTGGCGGCCCTGCTCCCCCACAGGCCTGTCTCCTGCAAGCTGTGGCCCTCACATGTGCTCAGCCAAGTCTGAACAAAGCCACTGCTCTCAGGGTGGAGGGGTCCCCCCAAGAGGCTAAAGCAAACACTCCTCTCGGGGCCTGAAACGCTGAGACCTGAGCCACAACAAGCCTGCCCCAAGGGGGAGCAAAAGCCCCGGAGGCAGCAGGGCCAGCGGCCAGTGCTGGGCAGGAAGCAGGGCAAGGCAGGGCAGGAGCAAGATGTCAGCAGAGCAGGGATGCAGGGCCACGGCTGGTGGACCTGTGGGTGCTGGCAGACCTGTGGGTGCTGGCAGCTGCATAGCTGCGACTGGAAGCATGTGTGGCCTCAGCAACAGAGAGCACGGGTGGATGGAGCAAGGAAGGAGGGAAGCAGTCACCCAGAGAGGACAACCCACGCAAGGACACAGGGAGCCCACACAGGGACACAGGGAGCCCACACAGGGACACAGGGAGCCCACACAGGGACACGGGGAGCCCACACAGGGACACGGGGAGCCCACACAGGGACACAGGGAGCCCACACAGGGACACAGGGAGCCCACACAGGGACACAG